GGAGCCACCTCTCCATTGGCAGCTCAGCAACACAAGGCGTTTCTCACTCTACACCCGGGGGAAAACTGTAGCCACCAGAGCTGCAGCCTCGAGCACATTTTTATGGGCTTAGCCTGGGGTGCACGGAGCATCTCCTGGGAAATGCTGAGGGGCAGGAAACCACTAAAGTGAGCAGGAGTTCAGGGTGTTGCAGGACTCGGCCCAAAGGCTCTGACTTCAAATATGTGCTGGAAATACCACTGAGTAAAGGTATTTGAGGCGTAACACAGTGCAGGGTTTGAGTCGGAATGGAAGGGACAGGTGTTTGGATGGTGTGCTAACAGAACATCAGGTAAACAGGATAATGCTTTTTACTTGAATAACAAGTTAATAATTAGTTATGTCGCTGTTGCTATTCTACTAGTGCTGATACTTGTTGCTAGTTCCTAAGCCTCACTTGGGTATCTTGGTTGAAGCTTGGCTATGTTTAATATCTATTTCTGTGAATTGTTGTGTATCTGCAGAGGAAGTTTTGTGTATCTGCTGCATTCACAGCTTGTAGAAAGGAGTATGAGCCCCCTTCGATTTAAAAGGCCAAGTTTGTGTAACACAGGTAGCTGGAATGTAATGAAACTCCCCCCCACTTTAAGTTCAGCTTTCCAACTGCAGTCCCAAATCCTTGTGAATCTAGTGGTACAAGACAAGCAGTGAATCATCTCTGCTTTCTTTTCCGTATCTCCTTCACAAATGCCTCCACAACAGTAGTAAGAATATCTGAAGTCCCCACTTGAAGCCGTTCTGTATCATTGCCGTTTCTTTAACTGAAATGCAGCAAATTGCATTAGATTTTTTTGACAGCTGATTGAGTCCTGGTTTGACTGTGGCAACGGCTTCAAACTGCAGCTTGACACTTGCTTATATTTCACTAGTTGGGCCTGTAATGCCGCAAATATCGCCCATTTGATCTCCCTTTATCAAAATCAGCTGAAGCTTTATTTCTGAGCTTCTTGCAGGATTGTTAATATAACAGTTAATTCTCCTACATCATTGCCCTGTGTGATTATTTCACAGCACCAACACAATACGCACGCCACACACAAAAGATCAAAATGATTCCAGCTTGTTTGAGGGATTCAAAAGGGCCTGTGATGCTCTAGGCACAAGAGCAGGCATTTAACAGAACAGAATCGCAACTGCATATACATCAAGGTAGATCAAAGGCAGCGGGGAGAGCGCACATTTACATAGGGACGGGATGATGCTATGGGAACCCAGGCGCTGGGCTGGAGGAGCACGCTGGCAGGAAGGGAATAAGGAAGTTCAGTGAGCATCAGTGGGGGGTGCTTTTATTTTTGTTTGGGGGTTTTCTTTACTTACTTTGCATTATCTGAAAGGCTGCAAGGGATCGCCAGGGCTCTGAGCCTTTGTAGCCTTAACTCGCTGCTGGTGTAAACCCGCGCCGGCACCAGGGGATGACTCCAGCTCACGCTGCCTGAACATCTGGACCAGGGCCTCTGCTGCATGTTAATTTCTCCACCTTTTAAAAGACAGAGAGGTGAGAAAACCTTTGTAAAGATAGTTATTAAAAAGTGCTCACTGGTACTTTTTAAACCATTTTACAGTTGTTTGGAGTTTTTATTTTATTTTACCATTGTGACCTTGTGCTGATGATTTGAAATCTCTTTCTCTTTGACAGAGCTGAAACCAGGAAGGGAATGGTAGCTACTATAAAATCCAAAGGTAAGAAACAGATGTTACACTACTTAAAATAGACAGGTCTTTCTGAGTGGGTTTTACATTGTAGAAAATCCCCCAAGAACGGCGCTGTGTAGAACATGGGTGTAAGGAGGTGGGACAGTGTGGAATTTCCCTGTTTCAACGCAGGAGTCCACAAATAGTTGACAGTGACAAATCCTGGACCAGAGAGGACGTGTTTTGTACTGCAGGGAGTCTGGAAGCAGTTATGACCTTTGCTGCAGGGTTTAAACAGCAGTGAACAGCAAGTAGGTGTAGAAGCAAAACTGGGAAGGAAAAACCTGATGTTTTACTGATGTGCCCTTTGAAACCAGGGGTTGCAGAAGGGGTGGGCAGCAGTGTGACTGGCTGCAGGGCTGCAGCAGGTGGGTGCACAAAGGAGCCTGCATCTGGAATAATTTGTGTCCACACACAAGTGGCCTTTCTATTAAATTGGTGGCTGGATCTCACGTGTTTTCATTCCCACTGCATTTCAGTTTTCTCTTTAACCGCTGTAAGGACCACTGGTGGCTGAAGTCACCTCTGATGGAGCCCTGTCAGTGAAGCTGGTGCTGGCACCTTTCAGCACTATGCAGTCCTGACCGGTACAGAACAGGGACTTGGAGCTGTGGTGTCTGAGCTGCTTTAAGGGTGCCGTACGCGATGGTGCTTTGGTGCCATCTGAAAGCCTCTCTCACCCCCAGACCTTCTCTGCTGGGGAGTTTCGTGGTGTTAGAGCCTTTCAGCACGCTGAGCCCCTTCCCCAGAGCTCAGCGCAGGAGTGAGCCCAGGGCACACCTCTGATGTTCCCGGCGGAGCGCAGACCTGCTGGCTGGGGGGCCGGCGATACAGGATGAAAGATGCAGCTGCTGCACTTGGAGATAAGGTGTTTATAGAGCTTGTGCCATCAGAAGCACTGGAGGCATTAACAGCGCCTCAGTCAAACATGAGCTGACATGTCTGTGTGAGGTGTGACAGCTTCCCTCCCTCCTGCTGCCCTGTGCCACATGTGGGGCATCATGTCTATCACATTGACCTTGCACAAACAGCAGCCCCACAAAAGCAGTTGGGAGCAGGCAGACAGCACAGTGCTGCGAGCCAATGTGGCCTTGGCTTGTGCTTCCCCACGTGCTTTTCACTTGATTTTTATCCACAGAGCAAATGAATTTACATCTCGAGGAAGCTCTTGGCCATGCCACATTTCAGTGTGATTGTGTTTCATTTCAGTGAAGTTGTTTGCTAATTCCCAGAGGTGTTTGTTGGAGCCAGGCAGTTCCCTGAACCCAGATCTTGCCTGTATTTGATCCTGTCCCAAAGTGGTGATGTCGCTCGTGATGTCATTGCCGTTTTGATGCCAACTCTGTGATGTCATGGTCCGACTGTGACTTCACTGTGGGGTCAAGTAGGGCAGAAAGTGGCACATAATGGACAAAGCTGTAATTGAGGCAGCAGCTGGGCAAGTAAATTGCTTGGAGTGGAAATGTTCTCTCAAGGTACCTTGAGGGACAATGAAGTGGGGCCTCTGAATGAGCCGCTGTCTGGCCACAGCAGCTCCCTTCTGGCGACACGATGTACCCACATCACGCTGTATCAGAAACCACCTCAACCTCGTGCCCTTCAGAACGTCCCTTCTCTAAGCTGTGCTGTGCAGCTGCCTGGGGAGAGCTGCAAAAGGCTCATGTCTGTGGTACAAATGACATAACCAGGAAAAGATTTGATAACTTGGTTTTTTTTTCTCCCCACCCTCAGCGTTCTGGGGCGAATCTGATGAGAGCAGCTCTGAGCTTGAGGCTGCTCTGCGCCCCCAAGCCCACAGCACAGAGGCAGATGAGTTTGATGACTTCTATGATTAAGACCCCCCCTGCTCACTTTGGGGAAGAAATAAGCAGAATCATCTTGTACATATGGAGCATGCCGCTGTCTGATGTGCAGCTCCCACTGCAGTCACAGAAAATGTACATACAGAATAAAGATTCCTTGGTTCTATACCTTGACTCCTCTGTGTGTTTTCTCTTTAGTGCTGAGTGTTTCCCTGATCTCGCAGCACTCCTGCCCCGTGGGACTGAGCCTTTCTCTGCTCTGTTGGTCTGGGGGAAGAAATGAGCATGTCAAAGATGCCCACCTGCTGTGAGACACCAGCATAATGCTTGTCTGAGGATGAGAATGAGCACCTCAGTGGGCTGGGGCTCTATAAACAACCTCCTCTCAGGCAGGAAGCTGGGTCCCATGGAATTTAGAGCGGTTATTTAATGACCAAGTGAGTCTTGTTTCCATGCAGGCACTTCTTCTTCTGGCCTGGCCACTGGTCTTGTTGCACATGAACATGAGACCATCCTCTTCCAATGCCTGTGAGAGCTCTACAATCTTGCCTGCAGAGCTAGATGTGGTTTGCAAAAGGCCAGCAAGCATTCTGGGTATGCATACATATGCTGCGCAGGGCGGGCTGGCATGTTTGATCTTTATCGTCTGCAACAGATCAAGAAGAAGAAAAGCATAAAATGTACATTTTGAATTCAGCACATTTTGGAACACCAGCATTTACATGTGGTGAGCCCCAGTGCTTTTCTGCTTGTGCTTGCTTTGTACAATCCATGCTGGCACTGCTGCATGGACATCACAGGAAAGGGATGGCTCTGGGAGCTTCATGCATTTTTAATTTCCCTCCTTTAATTCCTTTTATCTAAAATTAAGTTCATTAAACATGAGATTTTCTTTCGAAGGGAGAAACCAGAGGACATATTAAAAAAAAAAAAATCTGTTCATCATTATGGGAAGTTCAAAAGCACAAAGCAGGACCCCAATTACAGCAGTGCTGCATCTCTGCACACAGGCACCAACCTCTGCACCCCGGCCATCAAAAGCAGTTCTTAAATGGTAACAATATTCAGTTTAATAAGAAGAGTGTGTAGCTCCAGAACGTGAAACAAAGGCTCGGGAAGGCTGGAAAGTGAAAACCCTGAGCACAGCTGGCTGCGGGCTCGCTGGGTCCCCTGCCTCTCAGGCAGGGGTGCAGTGTCGAGTGTTCCAGCAACTGGAAAATGAGCTGCCCGAGGGATGGAGCTGGGTGAGCGTAGGACAGGGCCGATGTCATGTGGGACAGCTGGACTCCACCGGCGCCTTTCATGTCCTCCCCCACTGTGCCGGGGTTTCTGTGCCTGTTCAACCACGGGCTATTTTGGATTAAGGCTCCTGTGATGCTTCCCTGGCTGCTGCTAAGGCCTCTGCCAGAACACCAGCACATTTCCCTCTGCCTTTCCCAGTTTTACCCCAGCTCCCCATGTCCTGTGTGATGGGCACATTGGTTAAGGGATGGGAGATGCATGGAGAGGAGGAGGAGAGAAGGCAGCCCATCGGGAGCACGGGAGGTCTCCTGCCTCCCAAAGCAACAATTCCCATGTGCCAAGTGGATGGCCCAGCTCCCAACATTTCATTGTGATGGCCAGCCTTGGTCAGCACTTGGTTACCATGAGGAGGGGAACCACAGGACTGTCCTGCAAATTGTCACACTTGAGAACGAATTCCATCATGAGATGGCAACAGGACCAGGAGAAGGGCTAGCACCTTGTCATGCTGCTGCTCCTGGTGGGCTACCAGGTAGGTTGAGAGGCTTCCCCTAGCAGGGTGCTGGAGGCTTGTTTTTCTTCATGTACTGTGGGCTCAGCATCACCCAGGAGCCCCGTAGCAGAGCCAGAGTCTGAACCCACCACCTGCGGGCTGGTGCCTTGCTGCGTTCTCCAGATCACCCCTAAGCTGCAGTAATTCATTCCTGCGGGCCCCAGCCATCCGCTGACCGCAAGCTCACCAGTGCCCCATGCCACAGACAGACTGCTCTACGTGACTTTGCAGTGAGTGCCAGACCAAGGTTCACCTGGAAGGAGTGCCGGCAGCCCACGCCGGTCAGTAGCACTGCATCAAATCCACAGCACTTTGTAGTTTTAAGCCCTTCCTGAGTGATCCCCGGTTCTTGATGTCAGCCCGCTTTGTATCTCCATGTGATAGCAGGCACCCATCACCAGTCTGTGGCGCTTCCCATTCCCTCAGTCCAGCTCAGGCAGAGGCACGCAGCTCCTGACAGCTGACAGATGGCTCTGGGAGCTTCTGTGAAGGCCCTATCTCTGTGCCGGTGTTCAAGCGATAGCCGAGTTCCTCCAGAGCATTATTTATGATGCTCGTATTGTGCACAGCCTCATTAGATGCAAAACATTCTGCCAGTCAACTTCCCTCTGCTCCTTCACAGCTGTCAGCCTGGCAGCCCGCAGGTGATGGTGATGGACAGGGGGCTGTAATCAATAGAGCCTCCACAGATTGACATCGGCACGCCACTCACCTACGGGAAATCCTGCCAGGAAAAGCCTCCCCGTGTTCCCGCTGCGTGCAGGCACTCAGTGCCATGTCCCTTACGCGGGTGTCACATCCACGCAGCTGTGAGGCCAAGCTGCGGCTCCTTCCCCTCTGCACCCGCTCACAACGAAGTTTGAGTCAGGATATTTGCAAGGGGTCCGCTCCTGTTCCGTTCTTGTGTTGGGGTTTTTAACGAAACATTGATTGACTTTGCGAGGTGTTTGTTGCAGCCTTCATTTTCCAGCGCTTGTTTACCCAAGTAATTATGAGATAAGATGATCACATTTCATTTGCGTTTGCCAGCGCCTCTGTCTTCTGTTTTCTTGAGCATTATCAGAAGAACAACTGATTGCCCATCAATACAAACAAAATGTTAATGCTAATCTGCCTTACTCCACACGAAATTCCAGGAGGCAAGCATTACAATAGGGAACTTCAATCAGGGTGCGTTTTGTAAGGAACAGATAAAGGCCAATCTTTAGCTGATACCGCAGATGTGGTGCCAATACAAAGTTGCTGGGGAAATTTATTCAAGTCACAGATTTTATTAAGAGGAGTGACAACAGAAAATGGCTTAGCAACAGCCAAGTGAGGCTAAGAATAATGAGCGCTACACTATTGGGTTAATTTGGTCGATAGCGCATTAGCCAGGTACCAAGGTCCCTCTGCCCCCCGCCCAGCAGCAGCAGTGACTCCATAAGCACTGCTGGGACTCTGTTGTTTTTGTTAATGGCTCCCAAGCTGCTTCCCCGTGTCCTCGGCCCCGTCCCTGCCCTCCTCGCGGAGCCGCAGCGCGGCGGCAGGACGTGGCGGAGCGCACGATCTCCCTCCGTTTAATCCCCTTTAATACAGGCAGGTTTAATTCCATTTCAACGTCGCCAACGGCCAACTTACTTAATGGTATTTGCTTACGGAACGGGCGGAGCGGTGGGACGGGGCTCCTCGGGGTGCTGCTTGTGACCGTCACAAATCACTCCAGCCGCTTCTGGCCACGTCCGCTGGGGTCCTGCTGCGCTTCCACCCTCCCGGCAGCTCCCGAGAGCCCTTTAACCCGCTCCAAACAGCCCCGAGGGGAAACGGCCTCGTCCAGAGCCCCCTGCCCGAGGTGCTCAGCGCGGAGGGACCGAGCCCCGCGCTCTGACGGGGCTGCCGCGCCCGCAGTCCCTTCACCCCCTTTGGGCCCAAACCCCCCCACCGCAAGGTCTGTGCGGGTTAAACGTGAGGGGAAGGGTTGTCAGGACCCGCACAGAACCAGCCGCAGCCGAGCGCAGGGCTCAGGCACCAGCCTGCTCCCGGGCGCTCCCCTCCTGCCGGGCACCTCTGTGCCCAGGAGCATCCACACCCGCCCGGGCCAAGCCGCAGCCGCGGCCCCTCAGGCAGAGCTAACCCCGACGTGTTCCTATGGCAGGGCTAACCCCGACGTGTCCCTGGGGCAGGGCTAACCCCGACGTGTCCCTGGGGCAGAGCTAACCCCGACGTGTCCCTGGGGCAGAGCTAACCCCAACGTGTCCCTGGGGCAGGGCTAACCCCGACGTGTTCCTATGGCAGGGCTAACCCCGACGTGTTCCTATGGCAGAGCTAACCCCGACGTGTTCCTATGGCAGAGCTAACCCCGACGTGTTCCTATGGCAGGGCTAACCCCGACGTGTTCCTATGGCAGGGCTAACCCCGACGTGTCCCTGGGGCAGAGCTAACCCCAACGTGTTCCTATGGCAGGGCTAACCCCAACGTGTCCTTCAGGCAGGGCTAACCCCAACGTGTTCCTATGGCAGGGCTAACCCCAACGTGTCCTTCAGGCAGGGCTAACCCCAACGTGTCCCTGGGGCAGGGCTAACCCCGACGTGTTCCCTCAGGCAGGGCTAACCCCAACGTGTCCCTGGGGCAGGGCTAACCCCGACGTGTCCCTGGGGCAGGGCTAACCCCGAGGTGTTCCTATGGCAGGGCTAACCCCAACGTGTTCCTATGGCAGGGCTAACCCCGACGTGTCTCTGGGGCAGGGCTAACCCCGACGCACCCCACAACCCCACCTGTTCTCCTCAGGCTCCCTCCCGCCGCCATGACAATCTCAGCCCCGCCTCTAAAATGGCGGCGGCGCGGCTGCCGCGCGCTCCCGTGGTGCTCCGCGCCGCCCTCCGCCCCCGGAAGCGCTCCCGCCGTTGCCGAGGGCCGCGGTGGGTCCCGGCCGCCATGGGGGTGCCGGCGTTCTTCCGCTGGCTGAGCCGCAAGTACCCCTCCATCATCGTCAGCTGCGTGGAGGAGAAGGTGCGGCAGGGCTCTGGGCCGGGACGCGGCCCCGGGAGCGCCGAGGGTCGGGAGCAGGCGGGGGGGGGGGGGGGCTCAGGCCGGTCCGGGCAGCGCTGCCCTCAGTTCAGGGCCGAGCCGCATCCGGCCCCAGCCCGGCTGCCCCGGGCGCTCCCGAGGCCTTCCCAAGAGGGTTCGGTTTCGTGGTGGGTTTTGTTTGTTTCTCCGTGGGTGCCTTTAGTGTCGGTGCAAGCGGCCGGTGCCGGGACATCAACGCTCCCGCGCGTTCCAGAGGGGTCCGGGAGCAGGGAGCGGGGTCCGGGAGTAGGGAGCGGGGTCTGAGAGCGGGGAGCGGGGTCCGGGAGCGGGGTCCGGGAGCGGGGAGCGGGGTTGGGAGCGGGGAGCGGGGTTGGGAGCAGGGAGCGGGGTTGGGAGCAGGGAGCGGGGTCCGGGAGCGGGGAGCGGGGTCCGGGAGCGGGGAGCGGGGTCCGGGAGCGGGGAGCGGGCTCCGAGAGCAGGGAGCGGGGTCCGGGAGCAGGGAGCGGGGTCCGGGAGCGGGGAGCGGGGTCCGGGAGCGGGGAGCGGGGTTGGGAGCAGGGAGCGGGGTGTGGGAGCAGGGAGCGGGGTTGGGAGCAGGGAGCGGGGTCCGGGAGCGGGGTCTGGGAGCAGGGAGCGGGGTCTGGGAGCAGGGAGCGGGGTCTGGGAGCAGGGAGCGGGGTCTGGGAGCGGGGAGCGGGGTCTGTGAGCGGGGAGCGGGGTCGGGAGCAGGGAGCGGGGTCTGAGAGCAGGGAGCGGGGTCGGGAGCAGGGAGCGGGGTCGGGAGCAGGGAGCGGGGTCGGGAGCAGGGAGCGGGGTCTGAGAGCAGGGAGCGGGGTCTGAGAGCAGGGAGCGGGGTCTGGGAGCAGGGAGCGGGGTTGGGAGCAGGGAGCGGGGTCGGGAGCAGGGAGCGGGGTCGGGAGCAGGGAGCGGGGTCCGGGAGCAGGGAGCGGGGTCCGGGAGCAGGGAGCGGGGTTGGGAGCAGGGAGCGGGGTTGGGAGCAGGGAGCGGGGTTGGGAGCAGGGAGCGGGGTCTGAGAGCAGGGAGCGGGGTCGGGAGCAGGGAGCGGGGTCGGGAGCAGGGAGCGGGGTTAGGAGCAGGGAACCGGGTTTCTTCTGCTTTCCCCACTCTTCAAGCGGTCTGTTGAAGCGCGAGCTCTTCCCGGGTGTCTTTGTGTTGTGTTGGGTCAGAAATGAGGTTTTGTGGAAGTGTTTGGTAAACGTTGCCGTGAGCAGGGAGCAGTGGGGACGGCTGTTGCCGTTTCTGTTGTTTTGGTGCGTGTTCATCTCAGTGTCTGCTCTTCACCAACTTCCTGGTAAATCGCAAGCCAAAGCGAGCTTTAGGACCTGTTGAAATCTAACGTGAAGCCGGCTGTGTGTGAGAGTGATGCGTCTGAATGCTTCACAGCTGTGTCACTGTCAAAGCGTACTGGTTTTGTCAGGGTTTTCTGTCATATCCTATCTCAGAACCCCAGCCTGGTTTGGGTTGAAGGGACCTTAAAGTTCATCCAGCTCCAACCCCTGCCATGGGCTTGGACCCCTTCCACTAGAGCAGCTTGCTCCAAGCCCCTGTGTCCAACCTGGCCTTGAGCACTGCCAGGGATGGGGCAGCCACAGCTTCTCTGGGCACCCTGTGCCAGCGCCTCAGCACCCTCACAGGGAAGAGCTTCTGCCTAAGAGCTCAGCTCAGTCTCCCCTGTTCTGGCAGGTTCAAGCCATTCCCCTTGCCTCTCTTCTGCAGCTTCCTACTTCACTCTGATCTTTATATGGCTTTTGATACATCCACCAACACAGGATATCACGCTTGCCTCCAAGACTTCACACAAGTCTGCAGTCGCATGCATTAACCTCCAGCAGCTTCTATTATTTGTCTCATTGCTGGTATTTTCTAGTACAGGACAAATATCTCCTGCCCAAACAGGGAGCTGATTTTTCCAGAGGCATCCTCCAAAATGTGGCTTTCCACAGCAGCAGGAGGTGCTTTCCAAAGGGTTAGTGCCAGCCTGGGTGCTGGACTCCACAGGCGGGCTCCCTGACCTGCAGCTCTCAGCAGGAGCAGCCTACTCCTGCTGATTGCTTTAAGCTGGGTGGTCACTGCTTAAGCTGATGGTTATCTGTATCCTCTCCCTTGCAGCAGCACCCAGGTCTGGGGGGGAGGGAGTGTCTGAAGAGCCCTTCCTAGGAAGGAGCACAGCTGAAATATGTTTGCTTGCACATTTTTGCTAGGCAGGTTCTCGGCAGTCTGGTTCCTTTGTACGCATGGCTGCAGGAATGCTTGTGCCATCCTAAGGGGCACGGCCCAAGCTGGAAGGTGACAGAGGGGATGGAAGGTGAAAGGGGAGTGTCTCCCTTCAGCCACAGAAGGAGCTGCCCTGTGGTAGCCTTACAGTGAAGTAAACATGAGAAGTTGTTCTCCTTAGGTCTAACTTAGCCAGTTTTCTGGAGAAGACAAACTCTTGGAGTTCGTGCTTCCCAACTGCTTTTCCTGTAGGCTTTTCCAGATAGCTTGTATCACCTTTTGTCAGGGTGTAGGAGCTGTGCCCTGCTCATCTTCCTCATAGTGCTTTGGGAAGGTCAGGGCCCTGAACGTGTGCTGCAGCTGCTGCCTTGTTGCTTCCTCCTGGGAGGACGTGCCTGGCGTTTGGGACACGCTGTGCTGTGAAGGAGATAGAAATGTGTGAAGACAAGGGGAAAAGAGCAAAGTGATTGAATTACATAATGGCACTGGCTTTTCGTGACTGCACCTGCCTTCAGCAAGATTCCCACATGCATGGATGGCAGACAGAGCAGTTTTAGTGTTCAGTTCTTGTTGCAGCCGAGGTAGTTTTGTGTGTCAGATTCAGGCAGTGAAACAGAATCATAGATTTGGGTTAATCAGTGCACCGCATATGACATTTATTTTACCTGTAGCTGCAAGGTGTGAGTTTTTACCCCAGTGGATAGCTAAGATTTGAGGATTTGCCTGGGGGAAGCGTTACAGTAAAAGGTGGTTTGGGGGTTTACAAAGTAGAGCTTGTTTATAGTCTGTGACTGCTGACATGGCATTTGCTTCCTCTCAGCTTTAGAGCACGAACACCTGAACATGTGTGTGTGTATCCTGTCTGCTGTCTTCAACTCGTGCTAGCTGGGATGTTTTCAAGCAGTTCTGATCAAAGGGATGCAGATAGAGTTTTGACAATCTAAAGCAAATTGAGTTAGAGGTTTCTGTGTATTAAGAATGAGCGTTTTACATTTTTGTCTTAAAAGCTTGTCCAGCTGTTTCTGGATAATACTTTTAAGATCTGTCTGTTTAAAAGCAGACAGTTTAAACAGCAAATATGTTGACAATCTGTATCCATTAAGTAGTTTTCTCTAAGAGCAGAAGACTTTTTTGTCAGTGTGTTTGTAAACATTTAGATTAATCTTTATGTACTGGAAGCAGCTCTCATTTAGGTAAAATAAAGGTTTGTGTAGCCTTGGTTTTACTGAGTTAGTGATTGGATGTCCCTTTCTTTGTCTTTAATAATTGAACTTGTAACAGCAAATGTTCTTTGTTAAAAGACATGGAAAGCTAGGACAAATTCCACTGGGCCATGTTAGATTTATCTAACTGAAGTGTCAGATCCTGATGTCCTCATCCACGTTGCTTTGTTCCAACCTAGGAGCACGTTGCAATTACAGTAGGGACAGCGCATGGATAAATCATATTCATTAATATTTTTATACTCAAATCTAGGCATAACTCTGAGAGCAGGCTGGGACAGTGGTGAGAGGCTGTGGTTTGTCTTGCTGGAGATGAATTTAAACGTCTCTCACAATGTAATCAGCTCCGTGTGTGTTTTAGGATTGCTGTAAATCTCTCTAATCAGAAATTTTGTATCTCCCCGCAGCTTGTCTCTTTGAAATATTAAAAAGTTGATCCTTGTTCTCTTACCTTGCTAGATTCTTTCTTTTTCTTAAATCTGATTAATCTTCTTCTTAAGCTGAGCAGGAAGAATAAGAGGAAGATCTTGAAGATAATACAAAATCCAGGAGAGAATATTCTTAATCAAATTCGTACGAATTAATAAAGCTGCAACTAAAGTATCATATCTGAAGATCTATTTTCAATGGTTTCAAAAGAGGCTGTAGATTAGAAGTGAACAGTTTAGTTATATCACAAGAGATATCACTCTCAGATACTTAAACCTTTTACAAGGCTGTTATATTAAAAATCTGATAGGTTTATGAGGATGTAATGGTGAAGTTGCTGACATAGTGGTATGCAGATGAAGACTGAATGGCTTCCGAAGCCATCTGAAAGAGAGCATGTTTATTTTGCTTTACCTTCAAGGCTGACAATAAGGTCTGTGACGGGGCAGTTTTATTTTCCATATCACATAGTCATAAGCTTTTGATATTGTCTGGGTCACAGGTCACTGGCAAGAGGTTTGGGGAAAGATTGAGTAGAACACAAGGGAAACTTCTTGTCCCCGTATCTGATGTAAGCCAGAATGAACGCTCTTCTAAACTGTAGATCTTGGTTGCCCACAGTAACTTTAATAGAACTACCAGGTGCAATACAGTGTGTGCACCTGGCAGTGATTTATGTGTGTTCTGGGAAGTTCAGTGAAGGAAGAGGAAGCAAACAATGGCCAGCAGGATTAGTTTGGATCATAGAGTCACAGCCTGGTTTGTCTTGAAGGGAGCTTAAAGCTCATCCAGTTCCAACCCCTGCCACGGGCAGGGACACCTTCCACTAGAGCAGCTTGCTCCAAGCCCCTGTGTCCAACCTGGCCTTGATGAAGAATGGATGAATAGTGTCAGAAAGATGTGAACTGGCAGAAATTTCACCTGCTTTAAAGTGAAATAGAGGCACTTAGTGCTCAGCTATTTAAAAAGGAATTCACACAATTTCCCTGAAAGGGTTCGGTACAGCTATAACTGTGAAAAGTGTAAATACCAAATACAGACTTACTTTGCAATAGGGGTTTTAAATTTTATTAATATTTGCCTTTTAACACTGGGATAAGTTCAGCTACTGCTGTTGCTACTCTGAGAAGGAAAATTGTAAGGAAGTTGATGGTATGATCTGCAAGTGTTGGGTTTGGGATTTTACCCCTCTTGCATCTGATAGTTTGAGCTCTGCACACCAGAGATGTGGGAAACTCACTGAGTGACCAGCGGGCAGCAGGTCTGCAAAGAAGAGTTCAGGGCAGTGCTTGATGTTGGTTCATCAGCTGCTGCTAAGTTCCACGTGAAGGAGAGAACCAGCAGTGTCACATTTTCCCCTCCTGTCTCATGCTGTATGTGATCATAGCCTTTATGTAACAACAGCATCCATTTTTCTAATTTCACTTTATGCCAGGCTGTTAGATTACACTTCATTCCAGCTCCGTGATGTTTCATAGCCCTTTCCAGTTGTAATTTCTCTGAAATCATTTGGCTTTTTCTTGCTCAGCTCGTGTCTCTTCTGACACTCATGCTGTCGGTGTTTAATTCAGTGGTTTATGTGTTCAGCTGGTGGTGTTGCTTTGGAAGGGAGAACCTGGATTGCTCACAGTGGCTGTGAGGGTGTCGCTAACTTCCTCTTGAGAAAACCAAAACTAACAATCCCAGCCAAAACCAACAACAAACCCCAAAGGCATGGGGAGGAAGCAGAATTGAACATGGGTGCTAGTCCGTCTTGTGGAGGAGCTGCTCTGAAGCACTCACCAGTGTTTCAAACAGCCTGGGAGAAGGGGACGAGGGTTTTTATGCAGGTATTACAGTGCCAAGCGCAGCTCTGCTCTGGGGCTGGTTGGAAAGCCTGTTCTCTTCACTCAGATAGTTGTCATTGATGTTACAGCATACGCAAAACGGTGTGGGATTATTTATTACTTCCAGTTCAGCTGGGATTTGTTTCCTTTGTACTTCTGGGTTCACCTTGTATAGCTTGTTGCAAGAGTTCAAGAATGTTGTAGTACAGTAATGTAGGTGGCTGTAGGGGCTTCGGGGCAGTCGGAAGTTGGGATAACGTTTCCCATCTGCTGTGTGGCCTGAGCTTCATGTTCATTAGGCAGCAGCCTGGGAGCAGACAAAGCACTGATGTAGAGGAAGCGAAGCTTTAGAGCCAAAAGTTTACTTGGTTTTGAAGTGGAAGTTGTGGACTGGATTTTATTTAGCATTTCAGATACATCCACAGACAAACTCAAAGGCAGGAGTTGAAGAGTTCGGGGGTTTGAGCATCTCGGTGCATTTGATAGTTATGAGGAAGTGTAAGACATGCATACCTGAAGTGGAGATTGGCTGGTGGGGTCTGAAAGGATCTCCTTCCTTTGTGTAGAGGAACGTGGGGAAAGTCTTCTTTCTAGTTAAATCTCATCCTCCTTTGCTGACCAGGATGTGCTAATGTACTTTGTGCAGCTCATCATGTAATCATGATTCGCTTTACTGCCCTGCCTCCCTCAGATCTGTGTGTGTGACTGAAATACCAGGTTATAGTGAGAGAGGGCAGAGGTGCAAGTTTGTTTTGATGTGTCAGTCTGGGGAACAGAGTGTTTGAAGTAGAGAGATTTTGTTTCGGCTTGGTTACAGTGTTAAAGTTCTAGCATCACAGCATCAACTTTGAGGTCCCTTTGCTAAATTCCGGGGGAGTCGGTATGGTCCTGGCCGTAGAAGGAATTGCTTTCTCGAATAATCTGGGATATAGAAACGTCTTGTTTCTAGTACATGCTGATAGATGGAAATAAACCAGCTCTGCCATAGCGCATCATAATATTTTCTAGTTGTGCTGGTTTATAAACATCTTTAAAAAGGAAAAAGGAGAAGGAAAGTGCTATTTTAATAGTGTGATCGTACATTATAGAATCCCAGGCTGGTTTGTGTTGGAAGAGACCTTAGAGCTCATCCAGTCCCAACTCCTGCCCCGGGCAGGGACACCTTTCACTAGAGCAGCTTGCTCCAAGTCCCTGTGTCCAACCTGCCCTTGAACACTGCCAGGGATGGGGCAGCCACAGCTTCTCTGGGCACCCTGTGCCAGCGCCTCAGCACCCTCACAGGGAAGAACTCCTGCCTTAGATCTAACCTGAACTTCCCCTGTTTCAGTTTAAACACGTCACCCCCTGTCCTATTGCTACAATCCCTGATGAAGAGTCCCTCTCCAACATCTTTGTAGGCCCCTTCATTATGTGGGTAGCTTGTTGCTATCTTTTTTTCTACTGCCCTAAAAAAATAAGCTTTTATTAGTCTGTATATTAATATATCTGTGGTTACTTGTGACACTTCTGTAATCAAGTACTGAAATACTTGTTCCAACTGCATTCACAGGCCAAGGAGTGCAATGGCGTCAAGATTCCCATTGACACCAGCAAACCCAACCCCAATGAGGTGGAGTTTGATAACCTCTATTTGGATATGAATGGTATAATTCACCCTTGTACACACCCAGAAGACAAGTAAGGCAGTTTTTTTTTTGCTTTACAAAAAGGATTCACTGACATCATTTCAGATGTTACATTGGATGCTCTGTGTTCTAGGCCAGCACCCAAAAATGAAGATGAAATGATGGTTGCGATTTTTGAGTATATCGACAGGATCTTCAACATTGTAAGACCAAGGAGACTTCTCTACATGGCTATAGATGGAGTAGTAAGTATTGATATATTGAGTTCCCAGTGATGGCTGTTGGGGAATTAGGATAGATGCCAGCTGCTCTTCTAAGGAACTTTGGGAAACAGTTTTCTAACCTGAAAAACTACAGGGGCAAGATAAATCCCTGTTCCTGCTTCAGTTTATACTGATGTCGTGTTAAAGACTTGTATAATTACAGACTGGCCAGTTTCAAGGGATTTGTCCTGGCTACCAGAATCAGCTAGCAGAGAGGAAGCAATTGTCCAGATGCAATAACTGACTCAAGCATTATGATACCTTTTATAGGCTCCACGTGCAAAAATGAATCAACAGCGGTCAAGAAGATTCAGAGCGTCAAAGGAGGGCATGGAAGCTGCTGAAGAGAAGCAAAAAATAAGACAAGAAATTCTGGCAAAAGGTACAGCTGTGACACTCATATCTGAGGTTTTTCAGTGAGAGTCACCTTGTTTGTTCTGAGCACTTCAGTGAGGGTTAGAAAGGGGATGTTCTAATTAGTGGGTATTTGTCTGCGTTACTAGGAGGGGATAGCAAGCCCACACAGAAGGATGGATCTGTGTTCTCCAAAGTTAGAAACCATGCTAAAGCTAATGTCACTTTTTTCTTCTTCTCTCCTTTCTTCTGCCTGAAGTGGATTTGTGTTGAGTACTCTTAAATCCTTTAGAAAAAAATTGAACGTAAGAGCAAGGACAAATGTGATAGTGGGAAACTAACCAAAATCCTCATGGAAGAAAGCACGCATTCATAGGGCTTGGTGAAAGGAAGGTTGAGGCTTAAAGGCAGGGATCAAATGGAGATAATACAGCACAGGAATAAAAAACTGTGAGCAAGGATAGTTACAGTTACTTGTGAGTGGAGGCTCTAAACTCTGGCAACAAAGTCAGCACGACTTTGTAAGGGTGACAGAGGTGTGTGGAAGGGGTGTGTGTAACTAAAGCATGGGCTGGAGCAGTCTGTGCAGGTGGCTGAAGGAGGAGTGAATGCTGTAGCCCAGGCAAGGGGACCGTTGTGCAGCCTCAGAGGAGATTAGAGAGGGAGGGCAAAGACCTTTCTAACATTTCTTCCTGTAGCATTTCAAGACTACGGAGACCCTTTATGAAGCTCAGAGATGAGAGAAGTTGGTGTAACCCTGTTTGTGAGCCCAAGTGAATAGATAGTGGAAACACAGGGGAGAATATGTAAGAACATAATCATTTCCTAATGTTTTATCTCATTTAGCAAGCTCTGAGATTTCTTTCAGTCTTTCTGACAGACTAGGTAGTGAAACCACTTTTCTGAAGGTAACATTTGTAAATGTACTAACACCTTATTTTGAGATGGAAATAATGCAAGAGCTGTGGTAAGAGCTGTTTCAGTTTTGTTGTTTGTTTGCTTTTTTAAACAAACTAATTTTCAATCAGTGTTTATTGTTACCAGGGGAGCCATTGGGGATTTTATCATGCAAAAATCTATTTACTGTTCCATATGAATTTACAATGGTCCATATGGATTTACAGCGGTCCATATTGATTTAACTCTGTTAAATGTTTTATTGCTCTAGGTGGCTTTCTTCCTCCAGAAGAAGTGAAGGAGAGATTTGACAGCAACTGTATCACCCCAGTAAGTAATCTTGCACTTCACCCAGCAATTGCCAGGAGCTGAATGAAGGCTTCAGTTATTTTCCTCTGTCACTTTTTAGGGAACTGAGTTTATGGACAATCTTGCTAAATGCCTCCGCTATTACATCGCTGACCGCTTGAACAGTGACCCGGGGTGGAAGAATCTGACAGTAAGTTTCACAGCTTCACACTTCAGGAAAATGAAGGTGATCTGTTAGGCTGGGTTGGGATATGATTGGAGAGGGACTTCAGAGACACATTTCATGTAATAACACAATCTAGCAGCACCGTTTGTTTTGATTTCATTTAAGAGCAATGAGAAGATTTGACAGTAGAAGCCACAGTTTGATCTAACAGAGTTTATATAATGAAGTTCTTTTTCTTCTTTGGGGGAAAGTGTCAAGATACATTGTCTGTGTATTCTCTTCACATTCCCTTTATAACTCTTGCTGCCTCAGATGGGCTGTGTTTTCTCCTTTATTCTAATGATGGATGACAATAGATGGCAGGCAACAAAAGTAATACATACTAGCTTTCTGGGCTTTGAAATCCTCTCCTGTTCCTCAGCAACTCCACTGCCACTGAGTTTTGTGTCTGGCAGCCCCATGTTTGCTCTGTACAAGAGCAGAGCAGTCAGTCCTCTCAGATGCAGCTGCGTGTTGTTTTCCATCTGTTGACTGTTAAAGTGGCCTCATTAGAAGGCAGTTGACTCTGCTTAATTCCCTCCATCAGACGTGAGTGTTATAAAGGCTACTGCTCATCTGGGCACCAGTGTAAGGAAGTGTATGATGTGATAATGTATCGGCCTGTGCTGGAGTTCAGAAGATCTAAGGGGAAGCTGGCATATGTCTGCTTTATCTGTTAGTTCTCTAGTGTGTATTTTGATTGCCCTGGTTATTTGTCAGGAAACTTCAAATATGTTAATGTATTTGAGTCGATATATCAGCTCCATCCTAGAATTAGTAGAAAAAAATGAAGGCATATTCATTGGTTCCAACCTTTTAAATCATTTAATTTTGAATCATAATACCTTAGTTAAAACTGCAGATTAGAGCTTCCAGCACTCATAAATCAGATTCAGCATTCGGTATATGATCTACAGAAATTGGTTTTTCTTTCTGTAGCAGCATAAATTGTTCCCCTAATGTAAATGTTTCACAGGTCATTTTGTCCGATGCCAGTGCTCCTGGAGAAGGGGAACATAAAATCATGGATTACATTAGGAGACAAAGAGGTAAAATTCAAATAAATGTGATCATTTTATTTTAAATTAAGGTTAGTCAGTAATGATTTATTTTACATGACTTTGGTTAACTAAATGTAATTTTCTTTTGTATAGCTCAACCAAACCACGACCCAAACACTCATCACTGTCTGTGTGGGGCTGATGGTGAGTTCTCTTTTGCTAACAATATGCCCTATTGAGCTGCTAGCAGCTACTGAGCCGCTTTGTTCTGTTTTATGGTTGAGGGGGGCTGTAGTTTTTAGGCTTTCACTTGTATTTGTGTGGATTAGTTTTTGAAAGCTCTGTGTAATATATGGGGAAAGGTCTAGTACTCTCTGTGGCTGAAGGGCTAACTTTCCCTTGGTTGTACTGTCTGGGTGGTTTGTGGGTAAGCACATCTGTGTGTTCACACTTGCTTAAGGTAGAATGTACTTTGCTTTTAAACTTTTTTTACAAAACTTAATGACATACATCTTTCATTGTGTTTAATTCTTCTCTTTTGGTTGGCAGCTGATCTAATCATGCTTGGCTTAGCTACACACGAACCAAACTTCACTATAATTAGAGAAGAGTTTAAACCAAATAAACCCAAGCCCTGTGCTCTTTGTAACCAGATGGGCCACGAGGTTAAGGATTGCCAAGGTTTGCCCAGAGAAAAACAAGGCAAGGTAAGGATTCTGCTATTTGTAGAAATTCTTTTCATCTACGAGCTTTACTTTTGACAAGTAAAAATTGTACTTCTGTAGCACAAACATGCCAAACCTGATGTCCTCGCTTGTGTTCTGTTGGTTGGTGGTTGTTTTTTCACTGGTGAGAGAAAACGATCAGTAACTTCAGAGATGCAGAGTAGCACAGTGCATGGTTGGCTTGAGAAACTGCATTGACTCCCCTCAAAGTCAGCCTTTAAAACTGAGCTGAGAAACGTGAAGGTGGCTTGGATGTAATGCAGCTCTTTCCTTCTCTTTTAGCATGATCAGTTTGCAGACAGTCTTCCCATGGCTGAGCAGGAATTTATCTTCATCCGGTTATGTGTTTTGCGAGAGGTATGTTGAACAGTTGCTGTATCTGCTTTCTATAAATAGGATTTTGAACCCTATACACAATGTTTTCTAATGTCCTTTTCCTTCTGTGTGTATTGCAGTATTTGGAAAGAGAGCTCACTATGGCCAGTCTGCCTTTCACTTTTGATTTTGAAAGAAGTGTTGATGACTGGGTCTTTATGTGCTTCTTTGTGGGAAATGACTTTCTTCCTCATCTGCCATCTTTGGAGATCAGGTAGATGAGACTGTATCGCCTCTTTTCCTGCAAGTATTCCTGCTGTGCTTTTACATGATAAGAATCTCATGCTGTTGTTTGGTTTTAGGGAGGGAGCAATCGATCGCTTGGTTAACATATATAAAAATGTGGTCCACAAAACTGGGGTAAGATTTTTGCCTTTTCTTTAAAAACCTCTGGTGTTTGCTACAGAAAGAGACTTGTTTTTCAGCTGTATTCCCTTCTGCTTTGCAGGGCTACCTCACAGAAAGTGGTTTTGTGAACCTGCAGCGGGTCCAGATGATCATGTTGGCTGTCGGAGAAGTTGAAGATAGTATTTTCAAGAAGAGGAAAGATGATGATGTAAATTCTGTGTTACATTCTTGGTGTTTGGTTTAATCGTGTGTTACTGTCAGACTGTGACACTCCTTTAACAGAGCAAGCACAAAAAAAACCCCCAAGCTTTGTAATTTTTTCCTTCTAATCTCTAGTTCATTCCTGCACACTTGAAGAATGGCGATGGTGTGCTCGTGGGTGATTTTCTTTCCCTGCCCTGCAAGGCCTTTTTTTCTGATTGACATCCCAAGTAATAGGAAAATGAAAGTTCTGTTACTGCCTGCAGCTTTTTGAACAGCTGCTATGTAAATTGAGGTGCTGCAACCTGTGGAAGTGCAGGCCAGGAGCCTGTGAGCAGGGTGAAACGCTGAATTGGAATTCCCAGCACATTCTTGCTTTGTGTGCCTCCTGCCATTTGAAATGTGTCTCTTAGTTTGTCTCTGCAGTTTGTGCAGTTTTTTGCAGACATATTCCAATTTATTCCTTAACTACAGGGGATAAAATACCCTGCGGATGTAAGAGCAGAATTGTATTTAATTTCCAGTCAAAAATACCATGCCAGTGCTGGCAAAATGGGTTAGAGTTGCTCCAGCTGCACCTCTCGTGAAGTGGAAATGCCAGTTTGATACTCAAGTTTTCAGCTTCCACGGCCCAGGAGTGAGAAATCCCTTTCCCTGAACCAGCTCTTTTCCTGTTTCTAGGACTTTAATGTCTCCTACTTTTTTTAGTTGGTGGCTGTTCCAGTGCAGGCAAGGAGCTTGTGTCCTTTGACACTGCTGTCACCTTGAAGTAAGGCTATAGCTAAACTTAGTGAATGGTATAAGCCATTACCAAAATTGATGGGCGTTGAATACACAGCTACTATTTCCCCCATAGTTTGTCAAAATAGAAAGTTCTACCCCATTTCTACTGGATTTACAGACAAGCATTGACCTGTCTTATTCAAGACATTACATAAAAGCCGTACGGCCTTCTGGTCAGTTTAGGATGAAATCAAATACTTTTCCAAGAAATGTATATATTGACTGAGTTTATTTCTCTGTATTCTCTCTATAGGATAACTTTAAAAGACGACAAAAAGAAAAAAGGAAAAGAATGAAGGTAAGTTAATTCCTTTCACAATGCAAAACCCAGCACAAATTAAACTGTGTCCGATAGCTTTCAGCAGATGTGGTGGTTGAAACTGCAGCTGTGATCATGGCAATTTCTGCCCTGTGTGTAAACTGTTTTAAAGAAGGAACTGCATGTTAAAGGTTTCTTAAAAGGGAAAGGAGAGAGAATGTTGATTACAGCTGTATGTTGTGTCCTTCAAATCTGCACTTCTGTGATTAGGTAGTGATGTTTCAGCATGGTCACTGTACAGGGATTGCTTTTCATGCATTGACACAAGTCTTCTCAGCAGTTGTACCGCTGAGGGCAGTGGAGTTTAGGTTTAAATACATATACCAGCTTGTATTAAACGGGTTTGCTTGATTGAAGGCATGTTTCTAAAGAAGCAAGGAAGGCTTACCCCAAGCTGCGCTTCTCTCATGTTCTGCCTGCAAGCAAGTCAGTGTTGCCAGATACCTCTCAAATGTAGTAAAGAAGCATTATCTGTAGTGGGAACATGTTTGCCCTTTCTGACCCATGTGTAAGATGAATTCTTTAAGATTATGCTATTGGAATGATGTTGAGTTTTCCTCTACTCTCAAAATATTCTGGTATTTTAAAAATGGGCTCTTGCACGTTCGTTTTGACATAGTTTTGTTCTTGGTTAGGGCATTCAGGTCAGTGTAGCTTCCAAAACTTCCAGGGCATGTGATGGTCCCACCATGAGTACTGTCTAGATCTGGTGTTTATTTTTTCAATTACATATATCTGTCTATCCCTGTTAGACTGGAAGAGGTTATTGACTTTGCTTACAAAGAATACGATCCTCCCAGTACGACAGATGAAGTCTCGCTTCCCAAAACCCGTCTTTCAGCCCACATAGAAAGAACACAGGCACAAAATGCAGGGTTTGATTGGTGTCTTTAAGAAGAGCTTAATAAATTACAGGAATATAAGGGTCTCACTTGTGTCATTTTATGTCTGGTTGAGATTATTACACATAACTGAAACTGAAGTGAGTAAGTAATGCTTGTTTTACGTAGCATGTTAATCTGAAAACCAAGAGAGCGTATCATGGCACTACTGTGGAGATTACACAGCTTTTCCACTATACTCTCTGTATTTATCTTTCAGAGGGATCAGCCTTCTTTTATTCCTGGTGGACAGTTTTCCCCTCAAGCCCTGGGAAATCGATCCAGTCCTCAGGCAATCAGTAACCCCAGACAAGCTGCCTTTGAGATGAGGATGCATGACAGACAGAATTCTGTAAGTACATGTTCCAAGGTGTTTACACACAGAGGGGCAGTAATCACATCCTGTGCTGCTCTGGACACATTTCCCCCTAACTCATTGAGCTTTCTTGAAAAGCAGGCACCAGAAAATGTATTTTCCAAGAAAGTGGCTTTTAATAAGCAAGTTTTGTGAGACTGCTTGAATAAAGCTGTGTTCCTTATTTGAATGTTTGGTATGATATTGCTTGTTGCATAGTTCTGGGAGAGCAAGTGTGAGGTGAAGGCATCTGAGTCAAATACACTGGCTCTTCTCCCCAGACTTGTTTGGCACTTGTTTGGAGTGAGGTTTAGGAACTCCCTCAGTAGGTTTGAGAGAGACACAAGCTGAATACCTGAGCTGGAGGTATGTTAATGCTGGTTTGGTACTTGTATGGACAAAAAGACATAGATACCTGTATCTTGAACTTGTGGTTTGCATAAGGGTGTGTTTGTTAGCTGCTTTTACTTGCCCAAGTGTGGTTTTTTGCTGGGAAGAGCTAAAAATTGGATGAAGTTTTTGAAAAGGTATTAGAAAGTGAGGGGAAGCCAGAAATAAGTTGAATTCTCTGTTAGATGTCTGGGTTGTTAATTTTAAATAATAAATATGACAAATATTTTCTTTCTGGGCATAAATCTTCAAACAGTGACCAAATTCAAGGTCCTTTTCATCATAAAGATGTGGGTCCTGTCTCTTACATCTAAAAAATATAAAATGCTTTTTCAAAGTATAATTTCTGCTATTCTTCCCTTTAAATCTTGAAACTTTGGCACATGTGTTAAGCAAATCAGTTCCTTTATGGCATGGGAGATGTTTCTTCTCTGTAATATTAAAATAGATAAATCTAAAAGGAGTTTAAAAGATCTGTTATTTAACAGAGCAGAATAAACTTAGGGTATTTCTGCCTTTCTTGACTCACAAGCAAGATTTTTACAGTAGTCTGAGTATGAATTTTTCACTGTTGCTGTAAAATGAAGTTGTTTTAGCAATTTATTGCATCTTCTTTCTCACATACAGTGATTTTTTTTCTTTTTTGCCTGTATATATATATCAATGTCTGCCTTTAAATACAAATATATGTTCTGTTCTTTTGCTGCTTAATAGCTTAAGGGCTGTGTAGCTTTTGCCTTGAGTTTTTGGGGAGCTAAAACAGTGAATGTGATTATCACAAAGCTGTTAATTTTAACTTGACTTTAAAATGCCCAATAAATCCTTCTCCCTCTCTTACCCCCCCCATTTATCTGTAACAATTCTGACCCTAGACAACTTCATCATCTCCAAACACCAGCCTGACTCCTGACAGTAGCCCATCCCTGGCAGGAGGAATTAAGCGGAAAGCTGAAGATAGTGACAGTGAACCTGAGCCAGAGGATAATATCAGGTGAAGCCATTTTTGTGTAGCACTTTGTTAGCAAATTGCTGAAATAGATGCAGTGTAATTAATGCCATTTAGCTCAGAGCAGCAGTGCCTTCAGATGCTTTCCTATGATCTTTTTATCCAGAGGTAATTAATGTGGAGGGTTAGAATATTCGCTGAATTCCAGGGAGATGGGTAAGCTCTGGCTGTTAAATCTAAGTATCCAGATTAGTATGCGTGCGGGTTTTCATCCTCCAAGCCACTACTCCCTTTGAGACCAAGCGCTAGATTGCCTAGACATGCACTGCTCAGCTGTGATTATGTGAGCTGAATGCCACTGTTTCGCAGTTGAATTTTTGAGCTATTTAACCCATAAAATTCAGTTACATTCACGTGTGCGGCATTATTTATCTTGACTGTTAAAATATGTTTTCCTCCATCTCTGATTTGTAGCAGAGATGTTTTGTCTGTGATGAGTTCATTAAATGGCTTAGGGCAGCTGATCCCTAGATGATTACAGGGTAGGAATTTTATGAGAATTAACTGACAGTGAGGTACCAGTGAGGCTGCATTTATCAAAGGTTTAAATCAAGCCATCACCCATTAAGTCAAGGGTGAAAGTCCTTATTTTTTGTTAAAGGCTAAGTGTAACCGGTAGGTCTGTGTTTTCTGTAGAGGCAGGGGATGGAGGTGGACATGGGAAAACAATAAGTGTTACTTCATTGTGAAGTACTGATCATGAGTATCCAGCGCTGTTGTTGTGACATGTTTGATACATCTAGCCCATCAGATTTTCCAACAGCAGGTATTCAAGCTCTCAGTCTTATTTCCTTTCCTGTACGTGGAGATCTGAATGGATTGAGTTCTGTTTTTTTTAATCAAGCAAGCAGAATTTGTACATAAAACCAGGATAAATTTCAGTGTTGCTTTTCATTGGAATTTTAGCCGAGCTTCTGAAAAAAGCTTTAACAGTTTTACAACAACTAGTTGAATGAACTGTGGTGATTTACAAGTAGCAGTAGTTTTGACAGGTTTGGTGTTGTCAAGCAAGAGGGTATGGGCTACATTCGTCTGTGATTATTTAAGCACTTTTGTAGCTCAGAATACTTATTCGGATGCTTTTCTGAGTCAAAAATGATTTTATGCTTCTCTTAGCAAGCAAATGCAACCGCATAAATATACTAGATGGCAAAGAAGTTGTTTGCTAAAATATATTTTGTATCTAGAATGACTTTAAAACTAGATCAGATAGTTACAGTCAACGACCAGATTGGGTTTGGGCATTTATACAAGTGCCTCACTGCCAGAGAGCTCCTGGGGCAGATGCTCATAGACTGCAGATGTTCCTGACTCTGTCCTTCAGTACTTTAGCCAAGTCCCCTGTCCTTGCTCACCTGCTTTCTATGATCTGGAGAACATCTTGTTGTTTTTCCACCTCCTCACCAGTTCGAATCATCTCTGATTAGCTCAGGTCAGATTTTAAGAAGTATTCCTGCACTGGGCAGCTAACGTGAATCAGAAACAAGGGAAGATCCATTTTGCAAACCCCAAAGGGTCTGCATCGTGTTAAAAAAGCATAGACCTATCTTTGCTCTGTCTTAAAGGCTTCATTCGCTCTATTTAGTGCTGAGATTCTGAGAAGTCTAAGTTTGAAGTGACCTCACAGGTTACCTGTGTCCTTCAGGTCCTATGTGTAATTTCAGGTGGTCACAGCCTTTGTGGAAAGGGATCTTGCTTAATGGCTTTCAGATGTGATAATGCCAAGTTTTGAATAGTTGAGAATAAAATTTGATTAAAAATCATTATTAAGGGATTATCTGATGTAGCCAGTATCTAAATCAGATTTGTAATTTGCTTCAGTTCACTTGAATACCAGAATTCATGTGAACTTTGAGATGTGTAAAATGCATACACTATGGTGAATAGTAGGTTTAAATATTATTATTATTATTATTGCTATTATTATCATCATCAAAGTAAAACAAACCAAAAAATCCCCAAAACCACCCCAAACAGTTTTGTGAGAGATCAGCTCTGAAGCATGGTGTCGTGAGTGAACAAAGTAGAGCTTTATCTTTACATTTCTTAACCTGCCTTTTTAGATGGCAGTCTCTGAGCTGAACTGGAAGATTAAGTCGTGCCTGTTTGGACTAACAGCTTGCAGGTTTATGTGCATATTGATGTGTCTTGCTTGGGGCACAATTGTTCTCTCAAAAGTGTCATGTCTCCTGCTGATTTACAGGAACACAGCAGATACAGTGAGCAGATAAAATGTCCAAGAAAGCAAAGCTCTGAGGCTGTAGGCAGCGATTCCCCTGTCTGTAGACAGACATAAGGGGGAGCTGTGGGAAGTAAGGAGCTGTGGGAAGGACGGATCAGTAGTGCCCGAAATTGCTCCTTGAACTCCAGTATCCATCTCTGGCAAGAAAGACTGAAAATCGGTGTGTAAAAGGGACCTTGTGTGATGTGAGTCAGCAAGGGCGGGATTCCTGAGTTGCAGGTAACTCCTCTGGTACTCACAGCTCATCCGAACAGCAGTAGAGGATAGAAATCAAGCTGCTGCTTATTATTTATTTGCTTGCTTTTTTACTTTGAGTAGCAGGGAAGCTATCACTTGTCTGCTTGAGAGGAGCATTATGAATAGAGGAATGAGCTTGATGTGAAAAGATACTCCAGTAAGAGAAAGATTTTGGCCTAGGGTAGATTAAACCAAACAAAGAAGGGTAAGAGTTTGTTCTCTCTGTAGTGGTTTAAAGAACCAAGTTCAGATGGCAGGTTTGGCAGTGTGTTCCTGATGGGAAAGGTGAAATTACTGAGTAGGAACAATACTGTTGTGAAGAATCCCAGCAGCACCAGGCACAGGTTTGAAAATCATCCCTGCTCTTTAGGAGGACTTTGAAGACGTGTTTATCAGGATGCTACCTTTGGAATTTCATCTGGATTTTCTGTGATGCCAGCCATTGAATTTCATTCTCTTGCTGTTGAGCATCAGGTTTTGTGCTTTCATTTAATTTGTCTAAAGATGGGAATTGAAGGTGCAAGTGACTTTGGCTTCTGTTTCAATTCAGGTACGTGAATGTGCATATACTGACAGGTACTGACGTCTGTGTGTGTGTTGTGCAGGTTGTGGGAAACTGGTTGGAAGCAGCGCTACTATAAGAACAAATTTGATGTTGATGCATCCGATGAGAAGTTTCGGCGCAAGGTTGTACAGTCCTACGTGGAGGGGCTGTGCTGGGTCCTCAGATACTACTATCAGGTACCTGCAGACTGCTTCTCAGAAAGTTCACGTTGCTGTTGTGTCTGCTCCCTGTTCTTTTCAGGAAACAATCACTGCCCCTTGCTCGTGTCTGAAAAGCAGAGCTCTTTTTGAGGCTGTAAGAGAAGCGGGTGCCCGTTCCGTCTGGCACTCCAGATGTGAATGCAGTTTTTGTTTCTCACATACAGTACCGCTGCTTGTTGGTTTATTAAGGCCTGATGCACATTTTTCCTTTGCCATACATAGCCGTGCATAGTGAAATTGCAGATGATTGAATGAGTGAACAAAGGACAAAGCCTGTGAAACGCCAGGAAGAATTTGAAAGGACCAGAGTTGTCAGCCTCCTCCCTGGGTTATAATGATGTTCCATGAAGTGCATTGTGATTGAAGTAATCTCTGTCAGATTTAAATCTTTCGATAATTGAGATGTCAGATTGGTGGGAGATTACACACACATATTGGGGTTGTAGCATCAGTGGTTAATAACCAGCTTCGTGCCCTGAAGACAGAGCAAGTTATATCGGTGTGTGACCTGCGAACAGAATGTGCTCAAACTGGGGGAGTTCATCTGCCTGGGCAGGGATTTGTGGCTTGAACGCAGTGCCCTGTTGATAAAACCACATCTTTTCTATAGGGAGCTTGTGCTTGTCCAACTTAGAGCAAGGCCAACATCGCCTATGCCATGCTGAAAGACTATGCAGTCATAAAGTTAGTTTGTTTTAATGCATACTCCTGGGTTTTTTGTGTTTGGTTCTTTATTCCCTTTCCCCCTTGGAACACAAAGGGAGTGTGTTCCCTTCGCTTCCACTGTATTTATTACTTGAGTTTGGCTCTGACTTGCATGTTATGGTGGATGAAAATCATGGAGTTTAAGGTTTGCAGGTCTGTTGCAGTTGCTCTGTGGAGAGCTCAGCTCCCCACATCCTTGAGCAGCTCCTTTTGCCAAGGACAAATGTCACCTGGACACCTTTATAGGTGGAAATTCCCATGATCCTTCACAGTCAAGGGCTGCTGAGAGCAAACCGTGTTCCTGCAAACCATGGCAGGATATACTCCTACAACTTCATATGTGCTTATATATCTCCAAAGTGTGGAAATCAATCTTCAGCTTAGCTGTAAGTGTCTGCTGGAGAAGTGTCAGTCATGGACAAGCCCACTGCAAAGGGCAGTCTGGATTATAGGGAAACTGAAGGGCTTGGAGGAATGGGGTATATGGCAAAACCAAGGGAACATTTACAAGTGACCAAAGTATTTATACTCATTTGAAGATTACAAAGTTAAGTTTGTTTTATTCAGAGAAGAGTGTGATAATATTTAGAAGGTGACCAAAACATTTATAGTTACTTGAATATGTAAAGTTTGTTCTGTTCAGAGAAGTGTGCATGGGGAGGGGTGTTCATTGCTTTGCACTCAGCAGCCATGGCCTTATGCAGACATCATTGTGTGCTCTTAACAGCTGTCAAGCCAGAACTGCATTTGCACGTGCACTGCTGAGATCTGTGGCTTTAAATGCACAGGCAGACCTACACCAAACTGAAAACAATATGAGCACGTCCCTGGGCAGCACTCACTTGCTCAGCTTCTAAAACCAATTTAGTGTTGAGGTGTATGTAGGTGACTCCTGGTCCATCTCAGTCTGTAGCTGTTGTGGCTGCCATGGCTGGTGCTTGTAGGAGGGGTGGGTGATTGCAGCTGCAGAGAAAATGAACCAGTGAGGTTGCCAAGGGCTTCAGGCAGGACCACGGTGCTCTCAGGGAAATTGAGGGGCACCACTAAGACCTCAAGGAAGAGTGGCTGTACAGAAAGTATCTTCTGGTTTAGAAGTGTCCCAAAGGAAACCTCGGTAACAGTACACAGATGTTTGGGGCTTTGTTTTTGCTGGTGTGCTTCATGCTCAGGTTACTCCAGAAGTCTTTCTCTAGGCCTTACAAAATGACACTGCAGACTTAAACCAGTGCAGCAATGCAGTACCTGCAGGTGCTGCTGCTTGTGCTTGTGTGACAGAGCTGTGTGACCTGCTGTTCGTGGTATTGGAATGGAGCAGCAGTCAAACCTCTTTCTGCCCATATGGAAGTCAGGTTAGGAAGCTGTTGGACTTCTGTTGGGGAATGTCAGAATAGGTTTGCTTGAGGGTTTGGGTTTTTTCTTTTTACTATAATAAGAATTGCTTCCAATAACTCCTGCTCATTGTCCATAAGATTTGTGACAGAATCTGTATGATTGCTGCTTCTATTCTTATCAAAGCTAATAATGCAGAACATGTTTCACCAGTGGGGACACCTGTTTGGAGATGAAAAAATAGATTAAGAAAGGAAGGAAGCACCCACCTGGCTGTTGAAACACGCTGCAGCCATCTGAAGCATTGCATCTAATAATCACAGGCTCTGTAATTTTATACCCAAAATCGCTGGAAGAGCCTCATTGACATTTACTTATTCAGAATTGGAAGTCAAAATAGTAGCTTTTGTTTCAAGTGGTGCTGCTAAGAAAAATAGCTGAGGAGGTGAAAACTTGACTTCAACCTTCTAGAGCCACGTTTCTTTTCCAGAGTGCATTGTGTTCTGGTGTGTGGCGAGTTTATTTTCTCCTTTTTGAGGATTATTTTGCCTCTTTGAAGTGATGCACTTTAGAGTTCCCAATACTCAAGACACACGAATAAGAAGGGAAAACCAAAATGTTACTCCGAGTGTATATTAGTGCTGGTACTGAGTAGAAGAGTAACAGTCAAAGCCGGAGTACTTTCCAACCTGCAGCAAAGCTTGTTCACATCTGCACACCTTGTGGAGCGCACCATGCAGGGCTCTCAGTCCCCGTATTCCCAAGTTAGCAGTGGAATTTTGCATTGGGAAACAGTACTGCAGACGATGTGCTGCCGGACAAATGCTTGTGTGTTCCTGTTGAGAGCTGTAATGGCTCTGCCTGGCATGATCCTGCTGCTTACACAGTTACAGGGAACCTGGAAATTCCTTCTGTCATTTCCCTGTTCCAGACGTGGTGGCAACTCAACACAAGTTGAAATCATGACCAGTTGTCACAGACTCCTGAGTGTAGCCCCAGGGCTGGGTACCTGTGTGGACAGACCATGATTTCCTACCATTTGCAGGAACTTTCATGCTTTGTTGTACTGGACTTTGTGCATGTGCTTGTGTGATTTATCTTGAGGGGGAGGAAAAAGGCATGAGGTACATCAGTGTCCTGAAGCTGAGGTCAGGATGCTGCTGTAAGGTCTTCTGTGTCGTTCTGGTGCCAGGTCCTGTCTCTTTGGCTGTCTCCCTTAGTGACTCAGACCTAGCACATAGCAAGAGTACTCTGGCATAGAAGTCTATCTGCTGCTCTGTGCTGCTGAGGAAGTGCCCGAGGTTTCCACTCCCTGTCCCGTGAACTCACTCACTCTAGCCTGGCTATGAACAGTTAAGTCCCATCCTGAAGTCCAGAGTACCCTTAAAGGCAAGAGCTCTTTCTTTTCTAACCCTGGGGACTCCTCTTTCTCCTGGTTGATGCTGGGCAAACATTGTCAGCTTTAGTTACTGGGCTTTGTGATTGATTGATTTATCTGGTACTTCTCTGATTTGCCTGGTTGTGTTTCTCTGTCCTAGGGCTGTGCCTCTTGGAACTGGTATTACCCTTTCCACTATGCTCCCTTTGCTTCTGACTTCGAGGGTATTGCAGACATGCCTTCGGATTTTGAGAAAGGCTCCAAGCCGGTAGGACACCCTCCTTCCTTTCTTCATGACTTAGCAGCTCATTACAAGTGTCCTACATCTGCTCATTTCGTTCCAACAGTTCAAGCCCCTTGAACAACTTATGGGAGTGTTTCCAGCCGCGAGTGGGAATTTTCTGCCACCAACGTGGAGGAAGCTCATGACAGATCCGGTGAGAATCCTCGTTGTATCTCTCTGTACGTTATGTTGTCTTGCAGCGTGTGAGCATGATTTGCTGCTGCTTCCTCAGGCAGAAAACTAATGGAGACCAGGAGGCAGGGTTTGGTACATTGCAGAGGTTCTTCAAAGATCCTTAAAAGGAATTCTCTGAATTCAGATGTTTCAGTGAGAAAAATTAGTGAGGATTAACACCTTAACCCAGCTATCTGCAGTTATTCCATCCTGTTCCATTTCTTGTTTTGATAGTCTTTGAGTAGTGGAAGTGTCCCATCACACTTTATGTTTCAGTGGCCTTTAATAAAAGATGCTTCTGTTAGTCAAGGCTCTTTGCATCCCCCTCAGCTGTGGGTTGCCCGCCCTGTGTGAAGTGCAGCACTCGTAGCATTTTGAATCAATCCCATAATTGACTGTAATGATTTTCTCATTTATTTTCTCAAATACAGGAATCAAGCATAATTGATTTCTACCCTGAAGACTTTGCTATTGATTTAAATGGGAAGAAATACGCTTGGCAAGGTGAATTTCCAACTTTTTATGTCTTGGGCTATACTGTACTGACCTTAGTCTCAATCTATGCAAAAATAGGAAGAAGATGGAGAATTGTCTTGGTGAGACAGTGATGCACCAAGTCACAGAGAGAACTTGGGTTCTTTGGTGTGGGGGAGAAGCACTTTGCAGCAGGTGTATTTTGGAAGAGAAATTAGTATAAAGAAGAAATACTGGTTCAGTAAGTGATTTAGGATTGCAGTGATTATTAGTAATTCAGCAGTCATTCCAGATTCCTCAGTGTGTCCTGAGCTAGATTAATCATGTTTCTATTTTTATCAGCCTTACTGTGTAATTGTCTTTTGTCTCCTTTGCATTTAATGAATGGATCTTGTCCTGTTCAATCAGTGCCTCATTAATACCTTGTGCAAAATGCTTTGGGGAATATAGAAATATTTGGGTGCATCCAAAGAATGAAAAAGCAGTTGCAGTGCTTTAATGCAGCTTCTGCTTTCTTTAGAGAATGTTGATTTTAAAGGTCTGACAGATATTTGTGGCTGGTTACACTATTATGTATTATTATTATACAGAAATATATGTGGTTACACTATTCAGCCAAGAGTGTAACAGCTCCGTTGTAGGTATAAATCATTATTTGGGCATCTGAGCATAAGAAAGCACATTTTTACCCTGAGGGTGGTGAGGCCCTGGAACATGTTTCCCAGAGAGGTTGTGGAGTCTCTGTCCTTGGAGATACTCCAGTTCTGGCAGCCTGAGCAGCTCATGGCCATGCTGGAGCAGAGGGGTTGGACTAGGTGATCTCCACAGGTTCCTGCTGACACCAGTGGTTCTGTGAACCCCCATGGCAGCTCACCTGTGTTTTGAGATGGCCACAGTCAGGCACACAGTATCTGGCTTGGGACAGTGTTCTGTAATCAGAGAGAATATACCCAGGCATTACTAGATGTGTGGCATAGCAGGTTTTCCCTCTGTAACTTGAAGCTCTTTCTTACCCCTGCAGTAATTCTGGCAGCTTTCCTTGGTCCTTTTGTCCAGTTATCAAACCTATAGTCTAAAGCAGTAATGCTTTAAGTAGCTCCCACATGCTTTCAGCAGCCTGTGGCATTACTTTTAATTCACTGGATGCTGAATAGCATTATAAACTTTGTCTGGATTAACATCTGGAATTCTCATGGTTAAGAGGCAGTTGTGAAACAGATATTTTCCAAGCTGGAAGAGCAGACTCTCTCAGTTTAAAAGCACCTTATGCTCTTAATGAAATGTTTGAAGAACTTCATTTTAGAGATGTGGTCATGCTTCTGAAAGCTCAGCATTGATCCTTTTGCAGTCTCCTGGGTTATGAACACTTCCTGGTTTGGTGTCATTCCACAACAAGTGTGGTGTGAAGGTGAAAATAAATTGTTTTCCAGGAGTGGTTTATCACTGTTTCCCTTCACAAGTAGTTATGTTCCAGCTGGGGTCTGGTGCTGTCTGAGATAAAGCAGTAGTCAGCCTGTGTGAAGGTTATCCTCATACTTTACAAGCAGGGGTTGGTGAGGCTGGCGGCAGCAGCCTGAAAGCTCTGCTTCTCACTGGGTTACAGGGGGCTAAATATAATTCTGATTCAGTTAAAGTTCTGATGTATTTAACATATTATTTATAGTTTGTTCCAAACTGGTTTTGCAAGGAGAGGGTTACTTGCAATTGGGGTAATTACACTTTGACAGTTTAAGTTGCCCCCTTTCCTTCAGCTCTAGGGAAAGAGTATTTGCTTTAATAAAGCCACGTCAAGATCTAACTTCTGAAGCAAAAGTGTTTCGGGCAGACCAAGTTTTAGGTTGGGGATCTTAAGCCTGAGTGTTGCACCTTAGAGTGATGACAGGAGCATGCGATCTGCCTGCTTGCTACCTGCCCAGATATGAAGCTATCATGCGTATCAGTTGAGTAGAAAGCCTTTGCTTGTCATCCTGGTCAGGAAAAGTTCCAGGTGTTCATGGTAAGGGAAATAAAATAAAACCTAAAATAATTACTTCAGATTCCATCCAATAATAAGGGTGACAGAAGTGAATTTTTGAGGAATTTTCATACTAAGTTTCTTGGTGCTTTCTTGGATTTTGTTACGGAAGAAAACATATCCTGGAGCATACCAGGGAAGGCAATTCTCCAGCCTCATCCAGTGTGATTGAGTTGGCTCTGAGATGTGTTGTGTAGTGAGGGATTTGTATCCTGAAGGGAGCCTTCATGTTATCTCAGAGTAAAACGAATAGTCCCTGATGGATGGTATCTGCATCACCTCACCGCTGAACTTGGAGTGATTTATTCCATTGTTGTCTCTTAATGAATTAGAATAAAGCAGCATTGAGCTCTGGGAGGGGAGTATCTGTAGCACATGGGACTGTCCTGCTGAGCTCCTCTTGCTCCTGAACGAGGCATGTGTGGCTAGAGGTGGCTGCTTCCTAGTGCCTACTCAGGAAGGGAGGAGGAGGATCGAGGGGTGCTTGGAGACAAACTTCCCTTTCCAGCCTCCACTACCACTGAACTGTTTTTCTCTTGACAAGCTCTGTAAATGTAGGGTTTCTTTCCTGTGGCTGATGCAGCAGTTCTTCCTTAGGTGAAGATGCTATTGGAGCTTTCCATGCTGGTCTTGCTGATCTCTCTTATTTTTTGCTCAAGAACTGTGAGAAAACCCTGCTTTGGTTTTCAGGTGTTGCGTTATTGCCGTTCGTCGATGAGCGACGCCTCAGAGCTGCCCTGGAAGAGGTGTACCCTGACCTCACCCCTGAAGAAAGTAAGAACTGGGACATTCTGTTACAGCTCATTAGGACTGCTGGGTTTCACCCTGAATGAAGTGTGAATTTGGAAGTGTTCAAGGACGGGGCTTGGAGCAAGCTGCTCTAGTGGCAGGGGGTTGGAACTGGATCAGCTTTAAGGCCCTTTCCAACCTGAACTATTCCATGTTTCTATGAGCAAGCTATAGCAGAAGTTTGGATGGATTGAATTACAGCAGGGTGGAGCCTCTTCTTCATGGATCAGTTAGAACGATCCTGGATGGGTTTGGGTTTGTGGCTTTTAGTTTTCTTTTTACTCAAGTAGATCTGCATAAGATTTAGGCTGAAAATTAGATGGAAGCTTAATTGTGTGGGAGGCTTCTACCAGTATACATGGTCACAGTACTTGTCGGATGAACATGTTGCAATCAAAAGCATAAAGTCTGTTTCCATGGTTAGGGTTGATGGTACCACTTGGTAGGTGTGCTGGCTGTTCTGACCAGCAGGCTGGCTCTGTCCAGTTATGGGATGGGAAGCATTGTGTTCAGCTTCTGTAGGCAAATACTGTGTGTTACTTTCTCCACTGTACAAAAATAATAGCGGGTTCCTGTAAACTGCTTGGGGCTCTTTGGGGTGTTTGGTTTTATTGTACCCAGCCTCTCTGTATCTTCAGCATTATCCTAAATTCAGCATTCCTGCCATTGAGCACAAGATTCCCATTGTTCTACTGTCTGACAACTACTCTTGTGACCGGAGGCATCCTGTTGCGGACAGAGACACACTGAAGGAATGAATGCTCAAAGCTTTCTCCTAAATCACAGTGAAGCTTTCCCTTAGTGCAGATGTCAGTAGGTGCGCTGGTCTGCTGTGCCCCTTCCCTCCCTCTTTGCTCAGAACTCTTACCCTTTCTCTTCATCCTCTCTAGACAGAAGAAACAGCCTTGGTGGTGATGTTCTCTTTGTTGGAAAACACCATCCGCTTTGTGACTTCATTGTGGAACAGTACAAGACCAAAAACACAGAGGTAGGTTGTGCTTGTCCTGAAGGGATTGTGGAAGTGGTGAGGGTTGGAAGGCTACCAGAGTGCTTCAGCTGAGGAATTATTTCTTCCATAGCCAGTGGACATTCCCCCAGAGCTGTGCCATGGGATCCAGGGCAAGCTGACACTGAATGAAAATGCTGTTCTTCCAGACCAGTGAGTATGGCTTTTGGAACGGGCTGTTTGATGCTAAAGGACATCGCCTTCAGTTATCTCTGCACTTAATAAATATCTTTGTGCCCACAGCAAGAAACCCAAAACTCCTGACAAGGCAACATGTTTAATTCTGAGGGGAAACATGCTTTTCCCACCAGGTTTCATAGTAGTGTGTCTCATCAGCAGCATGTATAAAAACCCAAGCAAGTAAAGCTTCATTCTGTGATCCTGTTCACAGAGCTGGGCTTTGAAAGCAGCATCAGAAATCTTTAAAGTGTTCCGATGTGTATGTTTAATTGCTGATGAATCTGCTTTGTTTGTCATCTAATTTCTGTGTATTTAGTAATGTTTTAATAGGTGAACAGGGCCTGTATAATAAAAGTAGCAGTGATCAGTGGTCTCGTTCGGTAAGGTCATGGTGTTTTGGCCTCTCTGCTTTGTATGAGTGTTAATTTAATGCAGTCTCATGTAATTTCCAATAGTGCATGCTGTTTAAAAAAAACCAACAATTCTGCTTTTTATATGCTAATCTTAATTGTATTAGAGAAAAATCCAGATAGAGGTGTTAGATATACTTTTCTGGTTTCCATTTAGGCCATAGCACTAAATTCAGAACTGCTGCAGCTACACATACAAAAAATGCTAATACTTTTTGTTTTCTAGATAATGCATTTAGTTTGGGAAGTTATCAGTGCCATCTCTGCCCTGCAGGATACACATTCATTTATCTAACCTCGCCTAGAGGCACAGGCAGGTGTTCAGTAACTCATTTGCATTAAATGCACAAACACTCTGATTCTGTTGGACAGCAAATGGATGCTAGGTCACACTAATACTCATTTCTCTGTTCCTGGCATGGCTGGCAAGGAATATGAGCAAGTCAGAGCTGGGCATGGAGGAAATAATGATGCAGGCAGAAGAAAAGGAAGTTACGAGTGCTCCATCCCTGGCAGTGTTCAAGCCAGGTTGGATGGGGCTTGGAGCAAGCTGCTGTAGTAGGTGTCCCTGCCCGTGGCAGGGGTTGGAGCTGGAGGAGCTTTAAGGTCCCTTCCAACAAACCTGGCTGGGGTTCTATGCAGCTATATGTCAGCCTATGAAATCTCAGTTAGAAAGGAGACTTTAAGTGCTGTGGGAAAACAGCTGCTAAAATTATTTATATATCTGTATATATGAAATTCTTATTTTATTTCAAAGCCTTTTTCTTCCTGGTAAAGCAGGTTTGTGTCTTCCTGCTGTCTGCGTGTGTCTGTCTCTCTGGTCTTCTCCTGCCCTCATAGAACCTCTTGACTTGTTACAATCAGACCCTACCAGCACAGGAAGGTTTCCAAGGTTCAGAGTAGGACTGAGGCTTGTAAACAGGCTGCTGGGCCCTGGGAACGGTGTGAACCCAGCATTACACAGTAGAGAATCCACACAGACCAGCTGCAAAAGTAATGGCATTAAGAAATAAGGATTTAGCAATTCCACTGCTTGTTTAGTTGATACGCTGGAGGGAAGGAATGCCATCCAGAGGGACCTCGACAAGCCTTCAAGGTGGGCTGATGCCAACCTCATGGAGTTTAACCGTGCCAAGTGCAAGGTCCTACACCTGGGTGGGAGCAATCCCAGGCACAGCTACAGGTTGGGCAGAGAAGAGATTCAGAGCAGCCCAAGGAGAAGGACTTGGGGGTGTTGGTTGATGAGAAAATGAACATGAGCCGGCTTCAGTGTGCGCTTGCAGACCAGAAAGCAACCGTATCCTGGGCTGCATCCAAAGGAGCATGACCAGCAGGGCGAAGGAGGTGATCCTGCCCCTCTGCTCTGCTCTTGTGAGACCTCACCTGGAGCATTGTGTGCAGTTCTGGTGTCCTCAACATAAAAAGGACATGGAACTGTTGGAACAAGTCCAGAGGAGGCCACGAGGATGCTCAGGGGCTGGAGCAGCTCCTGTATGGAGACAGGCTGAGAAAGTTGGGGCTGTTCAGCCTGGAGAAGAGAAGGCTGCGTGGAGACCTCAGAGCAGCCTTCCAGTATCTGAAGGGGTCTATAGGGATGCTGGGGAGGGACTCTTCATTAGGGACTGTAGTGACAGGACAAGGGGTAACGGGTTAAAACTTAAACAGGGGAAGTTTGGATCTAAGGAGGAAATTCTTTCCTGTTAGGGTGGTGAGGCACTGGAATGGGTTGCCCAGGGAGGTTGTGAATGCTCCATCCCTGGCAGTGTTCAAGGCCAGGTTGGGCGAAGCCTTGGGTGAGCTGGTTTAGTGTGAGGTGTCCCTGCCCATGGCAGGGGGGTTGGAACTGGATGATCTTAAGGTCCTTTCCAATCCTAACTATTCTATGGTTCTATAGAAGTATTCAGCAGAAAGGCAAGTTAATTTTGAAACCCCTTTTATTTGTCACAGTCTTAGTTGGCAGAGGAACAGGAGTGGTAGCAACAGAGAATGTGAAGCAAATGGTAAGGAATATGTTACGTGGTGTTTGACAGAGGTTTTTTCTCTTCCCCAGGACAGTTGAGTCTCCTGTTCCGATGCTGCGTGATCTTACCCTGAATTCTGCAGTCAGGTGAGGAAACTCGGGGGTTTAATGCAGGGATGTGCAAAATACAGCAATCAAACTCATTTCATTCAGTGTTTTGTGGTGCTGAATGTGCATCAGAGCCTGTCTCTTCGTAAAACTGAAGCTTTTACTTTTAACGATTTCTGGTTTTCTGTGAGGATTGAGGCCAAGGTACTGTGTGGGTGAGCAGGGTGCACAGTGTGTGCCCTGCAGGGATGTCCAGTACTGCTGTTTCCCAGTGCATCAAACCCGTATGCTTCATCCCTTCAGAAATACCTCATCTCTCCTCCTGGTGCTTTTCTGCTCACTCTCTGTTGGGACTTCTGGCTCTTTGGCAAGCAAAGAGCAGCGCCTACGGATCTTGATGGGCTGTATCCTGCCTTTTAAATGAGAAAACCCAACCATTCATGCGAGCAAGCCTCACACAGGATTGGGTATTGATCAAAAGCCCTCCAGCTTTTGAGTTTTGCCTCTTGGATTTTGTATCCGCTTTTATTCATAGTAATTCCCAGAGGATCCTTGAGAATACATGCTTCATGCCTTTAAGAAGTAAAGGAGTAACCCTAACTTTGACAGAGTGTGATGTTTGGGAGGGTAATAAGAAACTTCATGCTGAATAAAAACAAGGCAGACTTTCCAAGGGTAAATCTCTTGTGGTCAGAGAAGATTTTAATTACTCTTGCACTTGACAGCAAACTTCTGTGGATTTAGTGTGCTATGTGTCCTTCTCACTCCATTTGGCACAGTGTGACAGGGATGGGAGGCTTGAGCCTAGAAGCTCTCACTTCTTGAGCCATGTTAGGTACTTGAGACACTGAAAATCACTTGTGATCCCTCGGTGCAAGTTTTTCCTCCACGGAGGCATAACTTGATTCAACTAAAACAACTTTCTACAAGCAGTAGGAAATGGTAAGTTGTGGCTTGTCAGGGTATTGTAGAAAGGATGTTCCGAAATGGGGATTTAGTTACTTTGAATGATGAGTTAAAGGTGGGTTTTGGCTTTCCATCTGCTGCTGTCAGGATGCTTGGATTAGTTTATGCTCCTGTCTGTTTCTCTATTGCAAGGATTTTTCTTCCTGTCTTTAGAGATAGTATGAGCAGTCATGGTTCTGCTCTTCAGATCTTGCAAATTTGGGTGAGTTTTCCAAGGGACCATTATTCTCTTTCCTTCAAGTATCATTCATTCTCTATGCTGAAACCCAGCTGGAAGAGGAAAGTTATTCTGCTTGGCTCTTTGCTTTTATCTTCTTTGGCATTCCAAGCATCCTTCTATGTCAAATGGTAGATAGTAAGAGAGCAGGGAGCAGGTTGGTGCTGTGTGCATCACACGTGTCCCTGGTGGGAGCTACCTGAGACTGATACTGGAGATTGGAATTGCTAGGAGCGTGGATGAATTTTCCTAGAGCAAACCCAAGCTGCTGTATAATGCATTGTACCAACAGAAATCAAGCTTTTGGTGCCTTTTTGCTCTATTACTGTTCAGTTTGTCTAATACTAGATAGCTTAAAATGCAGGGTCTGCGAGGTATCACTGAAAATAGGTGTATATCCTGTGAGGGTCACTGAAAATAGGTGTATATCCCTCCAAGGGAAATGCATGCAACTGCAAAGCTGCCTTTCAGGAGAAAACCTCCCCATCCCAGGAAATCCCTCTCCTCAGTTTTGTACACTTGACTAGGCTGCATGGAAGCTGATACCTTTCCTCTGTGTCCCGTGGCAGCCTTTGAACTTCAGGTACAATCAGTGCTTCGACTAGAGGATTCGTGCTCAGTGTCCACAGAAGATAATTTCATTACCATGCATAGGACTGTTTTCTGGACATGAAACTTCCTTTTGGACTGGCTGTTGAGTCGGGGGAGGAAAAAGGCACCCTGGGGAAAAGAATTGAGAGTCCAAAGTAATCCAAGTCCAATATAGTTGGTACATCCATGTGCAAGAAAGGCATTTTGCCATTTAAGTTGTGGGTTCTTGAATCTTCTGTTGTGTGCATCACTGTTAACTAAGCAGCAGTTACTTTTCCATCTTGATTCGTTGTCAGGTAAACCTAATCCTCAGTTATTTTCTTCCAGCATCTCCTTCAAAGATCCACAGTTTGATGAAAACTTTGTTTTCAAGGCTACGGTGTTACCGGGCGCAAAGTAAGTGTCAGCTGTCGGTTTGCACGTAGTTCCATTTCCATCTCGTAGTCCGAGTGTTTGCTCCGGGAAGTATTTATGGATCTGTTCTTCCTCTTAAGGAAACCTGCTCCAGTTCTGAAGCCAGGAGACTGGGAAAAAACCAACAACGATGGCAGGCCCTGGAGACCGCAGCTGGGCTTCAACCGAGACAGAAAACCAGTGCATCTGGACCCGTCAGCGTTCAGGGCTTTAGGGTAAGGGTGATGGCATGGCTATGGGCTGCCTTGCTGGGGTGGCTGTGCCCCTCGGCTGCTTTTTAAATGAGCAGAAGAGAAGCAAAGGGGGGGGGGGGGGATGGACTGTTGAAGGTTCTCTGGTGTGCCATGTTGGAAACTTTGGCATGTGATAATTCAATATTGATGAAACCCGTGTATCACAGTGATGTGCTAATGCCTTGCATTCTTCTTGGTTTGGGGTTTGAGGTTTTTTTTCCCCTAGCTTTCCTAGGGGCTCTTTCAAATTTGTTTTCTGGATACTGGCTTGAAGTACAGAAGGTACAATGAGAATATTGCTCACAAGTGATGATTAAGACTGTTATGAAGACAGGAATGTCTTTTATGCTTTTAAAAATGAAGTTTTAAAAACTCTTGTTCCAAGCACACATTGCACCACACAATCCACTTCTCAAGACATTTCCACAGCCAGTTGTTATTAGTTCTCAAAAAATCCAAGTAACTTTCTCCAGTGCTGCAGTGTGGTATGAGAGTGCTTCTGAGTGCAGGATGAGAGAGTGAGCTGGGGTTATGTATTACACATAAAATTGTTTTCCTTACTGGGCAGTGCAAAGAGACATGTTTATAGAGCCAGAAAACAGAGTGTTTTAAAGGAGAATATTATACAAGCAAATGAAATTAATCTGTGAGTAACTGAATATGAGTGTCTCTTTAGGAAGAGAAAATACCATCTTCATCTTAGGGCTTCAGAGGAGCTTGAAGAAATAAAAGCAGCACCCTTTTCTCCATCTGTGTGCTGGAAAGTGTAATTGTTCCAGTGCTGCACTCGTGAACCATCTTCATAGAATCATGGAATGTTTTGGTTTGGAAGGGACCTTAAAGCTCCTCCAGCTCCAACCCCTGCCACGGGCAGGGACCGCTTCCACTGGAGCAGCTTGCTCCAAGCCCCTGTGTCCAACCTGGCCTTGAACACTGCCAGGGATGGGGCAGCCACAGCTTCTCTGGGCACCCTGTGCCAGCGCCTCAGCACCCTCACAGGGAAGAGCTTCTGCCTAAGAGCTCAGCTCAGTCTCCCCTCGGGCAGGTTCAAGCCATTCCCCTTGGCCTGTCCCTCCATCCCTTGTCCCAAGCCCCTCTCCAGGTTTCTTGTCTTCTGTTCTTCCATGTCATAGTTACAGAAATAACTATGTTATAACTGTGTAGCTGGTCACATGTGACGTCCCATTAATTGCTATCCAAGTGACAGACACCACAAGCATCAAAGTCTACATGTGAATGTAGTTCTGCACAGGAAGAACAGCAGAGGCCTGGCAGACATGGACACACCAGCATTTGCAGGTCCCACATCTCCCAACCCTCACTTCTCAGGATATGTGGCAGCAGTTGTTTTGCTGATCTCTCACACAGTTTGCAGGAAATGTGTGTATTTCTGCTCTCCGGGGCTGGCTGTAGAAACTCCAGCACAGAGCATGTGCTTCCTTTGTGGTGTGCCTGGGACCCTCGTGTGTACGCGAGTCACTGCGCCGTGCTTGTGCACATCTCCACTGGCACACTGGAGAGAGCTGGGGGGTTCGATGGGCTGGGGAGCAGCTGTGCTGGAGCATGGCATTCATAAATCATCCTGTTCTTTTTCCTCTCTGTTTCTTACCCGTAATAGCCATACGATGCCAAGGGAGAGAGTGATGCCAGGAATGTATGCCAACGCAGTACCTCTTGGAGCTTATGGGAGCCCCTACGCCAGACCGCTTCTGAGCGGGCAGCAGCAGATTCCGAAGCTGTTGTCAAGTAAGTGGGTTCTGCTTCCTACAGCTCACAGGTTGGAAAACACTGCAGCTTCATTTTGGTCTGTTGCACTATTACAAATAAAAAGTGGAGTCAAGCATCTGGCTTCACCAGCCATGTGTTGCTCTTCCTTTATGGAATTGCTGTGGTGAGATGGACTAAAATGTAATTATGTGCCTGGAAATGGGATCTCATTTTGAATACTGGGCCCAGTATTCAAATGCAATAGGAAAAATAGCCCATTGTCTGACAAGGGTTCCCAGTTATCTGAATGTATTCTGTATGTGGCTGAATCTCAGCATCACGACCATCAGCTTAGTAAAAGCTTGGTCTTTGTTTCTGAAGAGAATAAGAGGAGGATGCTGGCCATAGAAAATAATAGAAAAGGCACAAGGCATAGTGGCAGATGAGAAGAGATTGTAGGACTGACAGGAGCTGTGGTTGGTGCTGAGATGCCAAACAGCCGGAATAGCTAATTCATAGTCCTGTACTGGCTTCTCCTGCCTGTGGTAGGTGTTGCAGCTCCTGGCAAAGAGGTGATAGGAGGCAGTCAGGAGGTCAGGGGTGCCACTGCTCCTGACTTGATGAGCAAATGGCTCACTGGAAGTGGTAAGATAAATCCTACCTAATCATAACCTAATGTGAAGAAAGAATTGCTTGTGCAAAGGGCACTAGTTAACGGTCCCATCTCTTTGTGATCAGGAGCTGTGTTTCTGTAGTGGTGGCTTGAAACAGGAGGAGGCTTGGCTAAACTGCCTAAAAAGTGCTTTAAAGTAAGACCTTCTCACTGTTCATCTGGATTCTTGCAATATTAAATTATGCATGTGTTTGAAGTTTAAACAGCAGACACAGGTAAGGTTTGAATGCCAATGTGTTGTCACATATAGAAGACCAGATTCCTGCATAGTGAATCTCTCAGCCTTTTTATACTCTAGATTTTTGCTGCATATGAAACAGTGAATAAATAATATCAATGGCCACTCTGAATTAAATGTATTGTTCAGTCCCAAGGTAGATAAAGGGTAGTTGAGTAGTGGGCGCAGAAGCTTTCTTGTGTGAGGAATCAGGTTGGTTTAAGTGGAGGCACGGATTGGATATGAGACCCTGGAGCTATTAACTTGCACTACAGGAAAACAAGTTAAACAAGAAATGTGTTCTAAAGAGAAAAGTGTGGGGAACGGGGAGGCAGAACTACCAGACAGGCATCGCAGTTCTGTATTGATCTCCAAAAAGAGAGAGCCTGTGTGGTTTGGAGGAGAGGGGAAGCATTCATGAGCCCTTCAGTCCCTGTAACTGCTGTTCATGTCTTCTGAAGCTCCAGTCTTATTATGAAGTCTGCTTATTTCAGAGCAGTTGTCTCTGCTTTATGTGCCTAATCTTGCCTATTAGGTACTTACAAAGCTCTCATCCTCATGACACATGAGCAGCTTGTGTTGTGTAGGAAGCACTTCACATGCAGATATGTCCCAATGCCATCATTCTGTCAAACTGAGGAGGCTCAAATCTGCTGCTGGAGGTGAAAGCCCAATGCATCTGTTGCTCTCAGAAAAAGTGCTTTGTAACACGTCCCTTCCTCCTTCCTCCCTTTATCTCCTACCCTTTCTCATCCTCGAACTGCCTCAGGCTTCTGCCGTTGCTGTTCTGCAGTTGTGCCTGGCAAACCTGAAAGCAAGGCTTCCCCTCTCCTCCTTGTGCTGTTTTCCTTAATGCTGCTTTTCCCATGAGGCAGATGTTGATCTTGTGCCTTTCTGCTCCTGCAGTAAAAGGAGGTGCCAAGTCAACCTGCTGGTCCCTCCAGCCACAGTCATCCTGCAAAGGCTTTCCACAAAGCAGGGGTTGTGTTCCTGCCATTGCTCTCCAGGGCCCTTCATCCCGGAGTTGGAAGCTGGTTCCTGGCACTCTGTATTTGCATGGGGGACCACAGTGCAGCATGCTGGAAATGTAATTCTTTGTCAGTTAATTTTGTTGTTTCTCCTCCTCTTCTGCCAACCAAGCTGTCCCAGCAGGCTGGTCTTAAGCTCTAATGAATTTCTGATTTAAACTGACTTCACCATGAAGTCTGTACAAGTAATTACAGCAACAGCTGACTTGGTATTTGGAGACTGTCTTTCAGTGCCTCATTATTTAACAGAGGCATGAGGACAGTTGATGTCCCAGTCAGTGGGATGGGTGCAGGTTAAAGAGTGTGAGGGGTGTGCTTGCTCCCTAGAAAGAGCTCCAGAAATGCATCCTGCTGCCTGGGCAGTGGGTCGGGACCCAGCCCAAGCCACCCAGGACTACCAGTGCCAAGTGAACCACAGGTGTCTTAACTCCTCTTCTACAGTATAGAGTCAGACTTGTTTAAGCCCTTAATAGAAGAATACCTCCAAGGGTTGTAGCTCAAAATTTCTCCTGAAACCAGTCTTTCAGATGTTCACTGAAGGGTGCTTTTTAATGGGACCATACCCCCAACACCATAACACATTATGGATTGTGTGGGTTGAGAGTCAAGCAAACCTGTGGAGATGAGAAAGTGCCAGCAGCTCTCTGAACCTCACTGCAGAAGGAGGCAGGAGTTGAACAGAACGGTCTGCATGGACAGTGCTAGCTCCAGTGGAAATGTGTGGTCAGAATTGAGCACATGGCCCAGTTTCACCCAGTGTTCTGTCTAGGAGTACCAAAAGGCTTTCCTAGATCTGACAGCACAGCTCTCTTGCCTTTTGCAGTCACCCCTTCAGTTCAAGCAGAAATGTCTCTGTCAAAGCACAGATACCTTCAACTAGAAAATCAAAGTAGGATTGGGAAGGCATATACTGAGTTTTCTTCATGGGGCAGGTTATCTCTAGTGTCAGTCATACTCATCAGAGAGAATGGTTTGGGTTGGAAAGGACCTAAAGATCATCCAGTTCCAACCCCCCCTGCCGTGGGCAGGGACTCCTCACACTAAACCATGTCACCCAAGGCCAGCCTGGCCTTGAACACTTCCAGGGATGGAGCATATAACTGTGAGAGAAGAGCTATATTGTTGTAGCATGACTGAATTGGGAAGCACCTGGAACCTCCACATTCCTCCAAACTAGAGCTGATGTGGTCAAAATTCTCACATTTTGCAGCCTTGATACAGAGCAGCTTTTTCTGTGTTATGTTTTTATACATATGGTGAAGTAAAATTAGCCTCTCGAAGGGCAATGCGGTCAGGCGTAGTGCCATCTCTTCCTCAAGAGCCTGCTGTGGGTGTTCCTTACTGGTGTGCTCTGATTTGACTTGGATGTGCCAATTTTCAGCTGATGAATAATTGTCTGTGCTGATAAGTTGGGCAGTCAAGTGCAGTGTGGCAGTCCCTGTGAATGGCAGATTTCGTCCCTGCAGCACGGGATATCTGATTTCTGACTTTCATCTCAGTTAGTAAACTTGTCAATTAGCAGCATTTGAAAAGTGATTTTGATTAGTGCAATCAGTAAACACAGAATCTCCTCTTTGATTGCCACGCTGATGAGATAAATTGTTCCTTGAGGAGCTGCTGGAGAAGGCAGTTTGGCCTTATAGCTCTAGGAAATGCCTCGGTCGTGAGGACAAGAGAAAAGATTCATTGTCATTTCTGCTCCCATTTTGTACCCTTTTGAAGTGCAATTCCTGCTCCAAGCTTTTTCCCTCAGAGATTGCTCTCCGTCAGAGACGTACAGATAATAGCATTGAGGTGGCTTTAAATGTTTTTATGATGACTTTATTAAACTCTTTGTTAAACTGTTCCCTGGAGCTGCCAAATGCGTGGTTACAGCAGGAGAGCTGAGGCCTTGCTCGTTCCAGTGGAAATAAAGTGGTTAAATAAGACACACGGTTTTAACCAGCCCTTAAGTAGGGTCTGTATGAACGGGAAATCCTATACCAGGGCAAGCCCAGCATCATCTCGCTGGGTTTCACTAGAGCACCGTTTGACCCTGGAAGTGGAACGGAAAACGTATTAATAATCTCAATTAAAATGTGGAGATTTGACCAGGGAAGGCTGGGGGTGAACAACTGTATTAGTCTGTGATTGCCCCGATGCCTGGGGGCTTTTTCTGGCTCAGGAGTGGGAGGATGGGGGAGATGTGGCTGTTATTTACCCTGGAATACAGGGTTGTTGTCTGGCAGTTTGTGTCTCCAGCAAGAAAAAGGAGAGCTGAGCCAGGCCCAGAAGAGCTGCAGGTCTGGTTGTGGTGATGGAGCCAAACCCAAGCCCCCATCCTGAGGGTACAGGTGAAGAATTGCAGGTGGTAGGAGTAGTAATAAAGCACAGGATATCTGTGCAGGTAATAGATAAAAAAATGCAGGTGCATTTATCCATGCAGCAGATGGAGGGGGTGCATCTGAAAACATTCTTAGTAGGACTCAGTTCTTCTGTATTACATGTATTTCTGCAGTGCTGGTGTCTGAGACTTAGAAATTACTAGAAATAAAGTAATCTAAGGATATTTTCTGATTGAAAAAAGTGACACGCTTGGCCTTAACCAAATGTTTTAACTAATTATTTTAATATTTATTCTTTATACTTTATTTTAAGCTTTAGTTTAATCTTGTGTCTGAATTGCTTTTCCCCCCCCAGAGCGGTTCAGTACAGCGTTAGGGGCCGGGGGCTTTCTCCTGTTGCACTCCTCTTGTATTCAAAAGCAAACAGCATCCCTAAAGCATCGTGTCAGTACAGCTTGTTCATGCATGTAAAAGTCCTCACAGCTCACAGGCTGATCAGTATAAAAGTGCCACACACCCATCTGTAGTCCTTGCAGTGCTTTAGACTGGTTGGGTTGTAATGTGTAGGAAATAACTGATTATACCTGATTACAAGCATCAGTTGGTAACTGTATGTGTATATGCACATATATATATATATATATATACACACATAAAGAGGTATATGCTGAGAGAGGTGTATCTGTTGGTTGCTGTGTGTATATACATATAATGTTTAATAAACAGGTAAAATCCCTCTGGACTCAATCCATTGCTGGGCTGGATTAGCTCTGCTCAAGTGCTGCTGTGAGAGGTTTCTGCCCAGGTCAGGCCATCGCAGCCTGCAGACAATCCAGCCGGAGTCAGGAGAGAGGCACAGCTTCTCCCTCTGGGGCTTTTATTCCCCCTTTTCTCCCAAATCACTGCAGAGCTTTAGTGACTGGGGTATTGGCAGCTGAACAGGGCGTTACTGTCCCACCGCAGCGTGTCCATTAGCCAGCTTCTGGAGCCAGCTGTTGAAATTAGGTCACGCTTAAACACCATTGAAAACAATCAAAGGTGTCACTGAAACGGAGGCTTTTGATTGACAGCTGCTCTGAGTGCTGGGGCTGAGCGGGAGCTATTGATGGGCTGTGTCTTTTATCCTGTTTACGGAGCAGTTTGTTTAGAGGAACAACAAGTGTTTAATTGCGTGTCCTGTTACAGCAGTGCCGTGTCTTTGTGAAGAGTCACTTTGGGCACAAGAAACAATTGAGAAGTGGGTGGTCTTTTTCTCTGCAGTTTCTTCCAACTGCAGGGTTAGGTCTCTGGCCAAGATTTTACCCTCAAGGGTTTATTTCGGTCTGATTACATTCTCCAAGGGATCAGTAACAGATTTTTATTACGACATTATCATTGTCTAGCTTAACTTGTAAGCATTTGTTACTATCTTTAAATACATCCTAAATCTAACTGTGTATGTATTTAAATGTGGATAAAGTGGAACTGTTCATTTTTACATACTCTGGTCACTCTTTTACTTTGCTTTATAGCAAAGCTTAGCCTAACCATATATTGAGTATTACGTATTTGTGGCTCACAAGCACAGTGTGCTGTGATGATGTGTGTCTATGGGGCTGTATTTTCTCATATAGTGGAGTGATGACTGTACCGATAAAAAATGTTAGTATCAAGTGAAGTCTTCACTTGTTATAGTAACAGGGATGGGTTTTCATTGTCAGCCTTCAAGAGAAGGTACCTGTGGGAGGAACAAGCATTAGCCAATGCCAGTTCTAGCAGTTAAAATTCATTCCTCTATTAGCATGAAGCTTACTGGCCATACCCAAAGAATAAGTTGCCTTTTATTAATAAATACAAAGCTTGCCACTTGTGCACACAAGGGCACAAGTTCTCAGCCACATGTAAGAGCAAGCGGAACGCTGTTCTTTAAGTGTACTCACTCTGGTTTCTTTCAACACCTTGTTTTACCCTCTAGATCTTAGACCCCAGGAGGCTTGGCGAGGTCCTACGCCCCTGTTCCAGCAGACACCACAAAGGTAAGGCAGGAGGGATGGATGCTGTGTAAAATGCAGCCAGGAGAACGTCCATGGTTCCACCAGGCTTTTTTCCCATCTTTGTTTTGAACTTTGTTGTTTAATTTGTTGCAATGCTGCTGTACAGCAGGTTTTATTTTAGTTAATGAATGTCCATGGTTTATTTCTGTTTTGTGACTGCACTGTGTGCTGTTCATCCTTTAAAAGGCTCGAGTACTTTGTATGGCGAAAAAAGAAGGCAGAAACACTTTCCATTAAAACTCAGACTTCAAAATTAACTTTACTGTTGGTGCTTTGGTACCGTTCTTGGTTCTTTGGCCTTTATCTTATTGAAGCTTTTGAGATACTATGAAATTGAACACAGAGAGCTTAAAACTGCATTAGATTTTGGACAGGCTAAACAAATTTCTTTTTAGGAGGGCTGTGGAGCTTAATGAGGCATAACTAATGGTGTTCCACTTTTATCATTTCTGTGCCGCAGCCGCAGCATTAGTACAGACGAGCCATTGATTCTTGCTACAAACCTCTTGAAGTCCTAATCAGCTTCTTTGGTACAAGTTTTTCAGGCCTGACAAGCCTATTGTAGGGCAGTGTCACTGTAGGTCAGTAGTTATTAGTTGCCACTGAAAACAGTTTCTTTAACTACTTAAGACTGAACTGAATTAAATGCAGAAGGGACTCAGGGAAGGATTATGGAATCTGCAGCCCAATAAGTGCCATCGAATAGAAGGAATGTGACATGGTTTGATAATAAGGGATGTTTTACATGCGTTCCTTCATTGATAGGTTGTATGTCCTTAAGTCAGATGGACTTTATAAACTCCAGAGTACCTGTGGAAGCTATGAATAATGATATTTATTTATGTTTGTGGCAGAATGAGAGGGAATGTGAAATCTTTGAAGTTTCACAACTCTTTTTTTTTTCCATGGGTTTATTTGCAAGTATTAACCATAGAAAATATGAGCTTTGGGAGAATTTATTGAGCTCTCCACAGTCACACTTTCCATGGCAACCATTTTGATCCCTATTGAAACACGTCCGGCTCCCTTCCCCTGTGCCACATCAATGTGGACTATTGCATTATAAATGACTCGTGCATTACAAACTTTAATGTTACTTTGTCCGTGGGAATTGCTATTCCCACACCTTAATTAAATCCAATTTGCAGAGTATTGTGATGTGAAGTACTGCTGCAGGTCTGTAACTTGCCATTACTTTAACAGGGCTGTGCTGCTGTCATGTACAGGCTGTTTGGTTTTGCAGGGTGGAGGAGGTTCTCAATTCACATATAAAGAACTTATGGCTGCCAGAAATTGTGTGTTTCTCACTCAAAACACACATTTTTATTACAATTGCAGTAATTGACTGTCCCTGTCATCTGAATCCTATCATAAAGTTACTGTGCTTGGCTTGTGGGGATACTTTCAGAGGTGACCACACACCGCCCAAGTCCTTTGGAGCAGTTTTGCAGACAGCGTTTGTCTGCTTGTAGTGCTGTGGCACTGACCTCGATGTTCAGCTCCCAAACCTGAGGAGGAAACTGGTGTCCCCTGAGGTGACTTTAAAGTGAAGATGTGTCATCATCACCCAGAAAGCATGCCTTGGAGGAGCTTGGGGAAAGCTGTGCTAGCTTTCGATGACAGCAGCAGAACTCCCTGTTTGTGCTTTGTTACACCCGCGTAGTTTATGAAAACCACAAAGCTGCCAGTTTTGGTGCTGGGGATGGGTAATTTTGCCACATTCTTGGAAACATGTTTGATTTCGGAAACAAGCCTAACTCACTCAACATCAGCCCTAAGCATCTATTTGATTTGAGCTTCAAATCAAACATGCTTAGGGCTGATGTTGAGTTAGTTGCCGTACAGAGACAAGCACAGAGACTTAAGCATATGTTTAAACACAGGCAGTCTTGGTGCAGGAGAAACGGCTGAACCTGTTGAACCAAGCCCCTGAGAGGTTTTCAGCTTCCCAGTTAATTCCCTGGGAGCTGCTGGTTTCCCATAGGGCTACCCTCAAGGCTGTCCCCACTTGCTGCTGCAGCTGCAGGTGCCCAGGAGCAGCAAGGAACTTCAGTTCTCCACCAGTTCTGCTCCCAGGAAGAAGGTAACCAAGGGAGAGGCCAGCCCCTGCTCCAGCCTTTCAGGTGACGTGGGTTGGCAGGAGGCTGCCGGATTTGTGACATCAAGCAAGGGATAAGCAGGGAGCCCTGTCTTTACCAGGAGAGCTTTGAGCCTCTGTGCTGTTTCAGGGATGGAGCATTGCAGCTGGGGCTAAACTAGCCATTGCTTCACAGGTAGAAGAAACCCAGGAGTGTAAAGCTGCTTCTTCACAGTGCAGATGATTTATCTGCTGCATAAGTTTTCGTACTTTTAAACTTAGCGGTGCAATTATGGGCTGAGAAAGGTGGGTCTGTTCAGCTGGGAGAAGAGGAGCTGCATGGAGACCTCGGAACAGCTTCCAGTGTCTGAAGGGGGCTACAGGGATGCTGGAGAGGGACTCTTCATTAGGGACTGGAGTGATAGGACCAGGGGTGATGTGTTCAAACTGAAACAGGGAGGTTTAGGTTAGATATAAGGAAGTTCTTCCCTGTGAGAGTGGTGAAGTACCAATTTTATTTTACCTGCTGCACACTGAACTAGAATCACTGAACCCCAGCCTGGGTTGGGCTGGAAGGGACCTTTAAGCTCACCCAGTTCCAACCCCTGCCACGGGCATGGACCCCTTCCACTGGAGCAGCTTGCTCCAAGCCCCTGTGTCCAACCTGGCCTTGAACACTGCCAGGGATGGGGCAGCCACAGCTTCTCTGGGCACCCTGTGCCAGCGCCTCAGCACCCTCACAGGGAAGAGCTTCTGCCTAAGAGCTCAGCTCAGTCTCCCCTGTTCTGGCAGGTTCAAGCCATTCCCCTTGGCCTGTCCCTACAGGCCCTGATGAAGGGAATATTTGATGGTTCTAACTGAAAATCTCTAGTTTCACTCTCTCACATGGTCTCAAAGCAAAAAATGCCCCTACATAAAAATGATACTAGTGTTTAAGTGTTTCACTTGTTAAATACCCCGATTTTTTACTAAGCAGCACTTTAATAGAAAGTTAAACTCTGTGCCAAATACGTATTGGTGTCAAATGAAATCTGTGTCAAGCTGCCTCGTGCCAGGCATGTAGCATGTGTTGGCCTGTGACCATCAGTCGCTGAGGGTGTTTGTCACAAGCGCGTTAGCAGCGTTGTAGAGACGGAAGAGTCCTAGAGCTGGAGCCACAGGGGTGATTCCCTGTAGTTTTCCTTGCGGCTGAGCAGTGTACTCATCCTCAGGTGTGCTGTTTTCTAGGAATAATGGGAGGAAAAGAAGCGAGTGCTCAAAATGCCCACTCAAAAAGCGTATTATTGTTAAAACACCGGGTTCGAGTGTTTAGCCCCTGCAGGTTTAATGTGCTGTTAACTTCAGACGCAGTGCTGCCCCTCCTAATGAATGATTCAGCGTGCGTTTCTGGACATGCCTCTGAAGCTAAAAATAAAACCTCACAGTTCAGTGTTGCCACTTGGCTTTTGTGCCTGTTGGGTTTTAGTGCTTGTATTGCACATCACATTTACCAGCTGCATGTTTATCAGGTAAGACTCATACTTTATAAGCAGGAATTGAGCTGTTTTGTTTCTCGAGATGGTAGGAGTTTCCTTTGCCTTCTTTAAGTTCAGGCAGGTCTTAATGGGACCCAATGGAGCAGCTGAGTATGAAACCAGAAGCAATTTGCATCCAAAACCGGAAAGCTTCAGGTCCAAATGCCTGTTTTCATTCGGTTTAATCTGTACCTGCCTTGTGATTCCAACTTTGCCTCTGTTCCTGCTGATGAAACATGTGTTTGCAAGTCCTTCCTCTCCCAGCATCGCTTCCTCCGCTGCTCAGAGCTCTGTTTGTGGAGCTGTGAACCCTCCCTTGGGCAGGAAAGCCAAACCTCCTCCCTCAACCTCCTGTGTGCATGAAAGAACAGATCAGCCTCTGGGTAGGGATGACTCCTCCAGGGTGGAAGTCCTGCCTGTTTAATGCAGTAAATGTAGGCAGAGGCTCTTTGCAGACACACAGAGAAATAACTCGGTTCAGCGGAGCAGCAGGTAGATACAAACCACAGTGCTCATGCTCTCTGCTATTCCTGCCTCCCGGCACGCTGGTCACACACTGCTCAGATGACTCCCTCTTAAGCAGGGGTCAGGAGAGATTAACTGGCTCCACTATCCAGTGTTTTTTCCCTTTACAACAACAGATTGTGCTGCAAAACATGAATTCTGACAAGAGTTGTACCCTTACCCGCGCTCAGCTTTAAAGACTATATCATGCCTATATCATTTTTCCAAATATTTTATGCCAAACAATGATTTGCTGTATTATACCTGTTGCTTCATAATTGTAATGTTAGAATAGGTGCTTGAAGGCAATTAAAACATTTCTTGCTGTCAGTAATCTAGGGTGGCAAACTAGCTTATAATGGATGTTGAATTTGCGTTCCCATATAAACTGTACACCAAATGTCAGTCAGTCCATGCCAATTAGTGCTTATGTTGCTAGGTCACCGTGGTCAATTGAAAACGGCATCAATAGAACTTGAAAAGGTTTCTTCCCGATCAGACCTTCTGACATATTGAGCAGAATAATGGATGGGAAAAAGCAGCCAAGGCCCCTACCCTAGATTCAGAATACTCGCAGTAAGAATTCATTTGCAACCTGCAATTAACTAGAAAGAATGGACTCCCAGAAGGAGCCTGGACGTTTAGAAAAGAAAGCCTCATTCTCCTGGATCGCACATGTTTGCTCTCTGGATGGCGTGTTGCGGTCAGGCAACGTGGGGAGCTCTGGGGTTTAATCCCCGCTCGGGAGCGGTGCGGGTGAACTGCTGAATTTGCCCCTCAGCAAATAAAAAGGTGGACTGAATCCTCCCAAGGAATTTGTAACGTTGCACTTGCTGCGTGCGGTGGTACCTGGGGCTGTGGCTTTTAAACTGGGATGGAGGAAGCAGTGCGCAAGAGTAGCCTTTCAGTAGGAGAATCCTGGAAGAGATGCCCCCTCCCTGATCTATCCCCAGCAGCTTGGCTGTCTGCAGTACCGCTGCAGGCATAGCTGGGTGTGACAGTGCTGAGCTCGGAGACAAATCATTTAGTGTATGAGACCGTAGAAATCCGGGTCTGTGGTGCGGAACTCTCCCGGAGCCCAGCTCACACGCTGTGTTTCCTCTCTGCACAGATCTGCTGGGGCTGCTCCTCTCCTCCCCTGGAACCGCATGCTGCAATCCCAAAACCAGTTCCAGCCGAGCCAGTACCAGGGGCTGGGCGGACCCATGGGCTACCCACAGAGACCCGAAGATCGCATGGACAGGGGCAGACAGGTAGGAAAGCTTTGTCCCGTTCTGTATGTGGTGTTCTCCTCCTGAGTAAGGCTTCCATTGTGTGTGGCTGCGGAGAGTGACTGGGGTGGAGGTGGCCATTCCCGAGCTGGTTTTAGCCCAGGAGCCAGTGAAAGCTCACAGGTAACGTCCCAGCTGTGTCCAGCGCTTCCACATGTATCCCTGCAAGAGGCTCATGTCATCACTGGGCACCAGTGCTTTTCATTGCAAGTAGAACAAACACCCAAGCAAGTCACATAGCTCTTATAGGCTCAGAAAATATGATGGGAAGGCAAGTATTTCAATCAGAGTCTTCCTCTTCTGTAAGGAAGTCTATCCACTACAGTATTCTGGGGATTCTCCAAGTTTCTCCACAGTATGTTTAAAATATAGATTCTTCTGACTTCATTAATTTCCCTCCTCAAATGCTTATTGGTTTTCTCTTAGCTGAAAAACTACTTAAAAGCAAATGTTAGGTACTAGCAGCCAGAGAAATAAGCATGTCTGTGAAAGTACATGTGAAAATAGCTTTGGTTAAATGAAAGCAAGGGAACGTGGTAGGAGAACCTCATCCAGAATTCCAGGTGACTTTGCCATCAGCTTATGAAAGTGCCGTAGAATGAAAATGCTCCTTGAAAGCAGCAGATGATTCTGCCTATGTGATTGTGTGTGTTCCCAGTAAAAGCATAATCTGCATATACTCTTGTATTAGAAATGTGAGTATTTACAGTGCTGTGTGCTAGTTTAAAATAAATCTCGGGTATCTATAGTAAACGTTAAGTTCTGCTGCTCTTTGTGTAAGTCAGAATTACCACTTGGTGGTGGGAAGGTTACTGGCCAGTAATGTGGAAAGAGGAGGAAGAGCACTCAGCTGCTTGGTAACGCTATTTCCTAATCCTTTTAATGGAAACTGAGGCACAAACTGTTTGAAATTTGCCTTCTGATGGGACCTGGTTCCCATCTTAGCTCAAGCCAGGTCACTTTTTCGTCTACACTCCCAGTTTTTCTTCTTCCCAGTCTGCCCATCTCCCTTCTACACAGAAATGTGTGTTACAAAGTGCAGCACCACGCACTCAAACGTGGTGCTTGATTTCTGGGGTGTTTCTCCATGCCAGTGGCAGCATTATAGTCACATTCGTGTGGGTATAAATTCTGTGCTGCTGTATGTGCAATGGGTAAGATCCCAGTGTCCTTTGCTTAGGCAGCAAAGCCTGCAGGTGCAGTTCCTTTAAATACCGATGTCATATGGCACATGTGGAAGTCTTCTTGTGTTTTTACCACTTCTCTGCTGCTTTGTCTGCTGTAGGTCTTTTCTATTCTGGCTGTGGGTCCCAGCACTGTATCACAGCCGCCTCTGCACAGCGACGTTGTTACGGTGTGCGGGGTTTAAGGCAGCTATTGCAGTGAAAACAAGCGCTGTCAAACCAAGTCTGGGAGGGAAGAGCCTTTGGCCTTTGCTGGGGAAGGTTTTTGCAGAGCCCTTCTCTCTGTGGTTGAGCTCGTCAGGCCCCAAGCCCAGCAGCAGCAGCCCAGAGGCTCAGCATTGTCTGTGGGTGCAGGATTACTCGGGGCTGCTGAAAGGCTCTGCAGCAGCCAGCAGCCTGCCCAGCGCTCCCAGCTCAGAAACTCCTGTTCAGCTGAGCCCTTTCAGCAGCAGCGAGGTCCTTTCTACCCCCAGCTCCTACCCTGGAGCGCTTTTAGTGCAAAGGCTGTTAAGGCTGGAGTACAGATTGTCTAGGGCTCCTTCAGTTGTCAGGTTGGTGCTGCAGCAAGAAACAGGGGGGAAAGAGGCCAGTATACCACTGTGCATGCTTGCTCCAGGGATAGCAGGGAGCATTAGCAGCATAAATCCTTCCAGAGGTGGTTTTGGTTGTAAGCAAAACTAGGCAGTGTGGCTTACGATCACATTAGGCTTAATGGGGAAACACTGAATCCTTTTTGTGCTGCCCAGCTAGTCCCCAGAGGGGTTTTTTAAGGTATATTTCTAATTTGGATGAGGCATATTGATGGGATCAGTTTTCAATGACCTTTGAAAGTCCTTTTCAACCCAAACTATTCTATGATTCAAAACCCTTTCATTTTGTGCTACACTGGTTTACCCAAAACACTCGAGGAATAAAATGCATAATTGCAGTAACCCATAACAGGGGCTGCTGTAATGATGGAGGAAAATCAGCAGAGGATTTTGATGCTGGTGGAGCCTGGGTGGTATTTAATTAGGGTTGGAAAATAGACACTTGAAAAAGTCTGTGTGCTGCACTGTTCTCTGCTCTAGCCTTTATCCTGGTAGCGTAGGTAGATATTTGCAAAGGGAATCAGTGCTCAAACTAGTTCATTCCCGACCTTAAATCTTTGTGTTAACAGCTACAGCTGGAATCACAAAGGAGAACAGAAATTGTCTCCCAAGGATGTTTGCAGCAGGGGCTTGGGGAGGGCACCTCTCTTAGGAAAGGGGAAAGCAGCCTCCTAACCACAGGGTCTCGGAGCATCGTGGATGTCTGCAGCCTGCCAGTGATGGAAAACCTCAGCCCTTGCTGTTTTCTGGCTATTTGCAACCTGAATGATTAAATAGGAGCCTTTTGGACATACTGCAGTTGTGTCCAAAGCCTAATTCACTTGTCACGAGCACGGGACACGTCTGCTGGATCATGAAATGAAGTTTGAATCTGGGTAGGGACCACAGCTTGTACCATCATGTGTGTGAATATGAATGTTAAGGACAAATCTCTCGGCTCAAGTAAATTCGCTTCCTTAAATTCCCCTTTGCATTTCTGCTGGTTTCCACCTGGTTTTTATTTCCTTTATTTTTTTGTTGCCTTTTTTCTCTCCTTTTCCATGTTGGTTTTAAATGAACTGTCAGATGTCATTATTTCCTGCGGGCCGGCAGCGCTGCAGCAGAATTAGAAGCTCCCTTAAAGGGTTTTGGGTGCAAACCCAATAATTGAATCTAGCATTGCTGCCTGTACGTTTCAAAGCTTTAAAGCCTTGAAAAGGGATTCAAGTGGAAGTGGTGACACGTAGCAGCATAAATAATTATCTTTGGTCCCTTTCACCTCTGAATTCTTTTTTTACAGCGTACAGAACATGGTCTGAAGAGGTTAATAAACGCGCTGCTACAAAGTGCTTACGAAATTAATGCAACTGCCATGGATATGGGTTGCTCTGTGGTGAAGGGGGGGTTTGCTGGCGGCCTCCAGCTCCTCCACAGAACCTAAAGATAAACTTGATGGCGTTGTGCAGGTGTTTGACATCTTGATTTTAGGCTGCAGCAGCAACTGAAGGGCCAGATAAAGGCCTTGTGTGGCTGGATTGCACTGCTGCGCTGGGGTTGTGTGGAACTGGAAGGGCTTGGAGCTTGTTTCCTATTGAAAGTGCTCACAGTTAGGCCTGAAAACAAAGATAAAACCTTCCTGATGGCAGAAGCAGCGTATTCCACACAGTGCTTTTGGGTGCACCACATGGGTTTCTGTCCGGAGCAGGCTGAAGCAAACCACTCCAGTTTCCCTGCTTATCACCGAGCCCCCGTTGGAGAGAGTAAGGATGGATTTCCCTTTAGAAGGAATGAAAGGAAGCCCCTCTTCCCCAAACACCAAAAAACTCCTGGGAGGACACAAAGCCCCATCGCTGCCGTTAGTGCATCCATTGAATGCCCTTCCTGCAATGCGTCAGGTTTTGCAACCATTATAAATGTTTCAAAGGAACTCGATGCAATTTTTCACTGGATTCAGTGTACAGAATGCCTCATCTCAATTTAAATACACAGATATACTGGAGTGATTTCCAAGGTGGGATTTCGGCATCTTTCACCTATTGTTTCGAATGAGTGAGTTCTGGAAAATGCTGCTTCTGTAACAAATACAGCTATTTTAATTCTATTTTTCCTAAAAATACTTACTTGTAAAAATACCCGCCCTGCTTTAGCATCACACTGCTCACCATTAGAACAGGAAGGTGGCACTTGAGGGGCATTTTTCCTCGACGAAGTATTCATGGTGGGAATCATGAATCTCAGCGATGCTGTAACTCGCAACATGACATTTGCATCCTTGCTCTCTGTAAAGCATAAAGAGTGCGTGGAGCAAAGCCACGTTTTCGGTAGGAATTGGAAAATTTCATTTCAGATCTGCCCTTCAGGGGCATGCATGGTGATACATGTCTGTGTATATATATGTCTGTATATATGTGTGTGTGTGTGTGTGTATGTGCATAGATGTGGCTTTAATGTACTGGTTTCTGTGCTCGGGGAAGTCCAAGCTTGTCTTCCCAGGGAAGCGCTGCCGTCGGGAGCGTTGGGCACCTTCCCGTGCAGGGTTTATTGTGTCCCTTGTGTGGGCCATGCTCCATGGACCTTGTTTACCACCGTGTTAATCCAAAAAATAAATGCTTGCTTTTGTTTGTTTGCTTGCAGGCCTATGGCCCCGGGAGGCCCTACCCGCTGCCGCCTCCCTCGGGAAGATACGGCTGGAATTAGCTCCTGGCGACTTCCTTTTTAACCACAAAGTGTCCAGGCTTTTTGTTCTGTTCTTTTATTATCTGGGGAGGGGGGGGGAGAAGAGAGAATCCCGATGAAACCATCCCTGTAGTTTTTAAACTTGTTTAAACGTGCACATTTCGTACCCAACTGATGATGATTTTTCCTTTGTGGGAGCTGTGTCGCTTGGGAATAGCGGGTTGCGGAGTGCGAGCGCCCTGAACTTGCTCTGCTTGTGAGATGCTGGAGGAGGTGGGAATTCCTTATCCCCATCCCGCTGTGCTGCCCTCAGCTCCAGCCATCCTTGGCTGCACACACGGGAGCCTGGAATCAGCCCCGGGGTCGTGCGGGGCACCTAGAGAGGGGATGGGGTTAAGGCACCTGGGCACCGCTGTTCCTCCTCGGATGCTTCCTCCAGTGTCTCACAGAGAGAGGAGATTTTTTTGTGGGGAGACTTTGAAGTAAAACATTTCAACTTTTACATTGGTGCCTGGTTCTGACTGTTCTGTCCCAGCAGGGCGTGCGGACTGGGCTGGGTTGGGGTGCGAGGTAAAGGAGCTGCGCAGGCCCGCGTTCCCCTTTGGTTTTAGCCCTCTTTGTAGGGGTTCCGTGTGGCTGTACCAAATCAGTGCTTATTTTTATTTGCTTTATAAAGTGGCTTTTGAAACGGGGAGCAGGAGCGAGTGGTTCATTTCCAACCCCTCCACCGTGGCTGCGGATCTGTGCTCTGGACCTGCCTGAGCATCTTCGTAGTCATTTCTTGGGAAATAATTCCAACAGCATTTAACCTTTTGATTAACCCAAAACCAAACTCTGGGATTAGCTGAGCAGCATTAATGCCACTGTACCACCTTTCCCATGTGCCACGCTGGGACTTGTCCCATAGAAATCGGTCAGCTCCCCAGCTCTGGAGTGGTTTTCCAGCCCTGTCCTTCGAGGTTCCTGATGTTAATCACCAGCAACGAGGAAAAAGATGGGATCAATGTAACCTTGGGAGGAAGAAAGCATGAAACCGGGTTCTTTATTTTCAAGTGACCGAGGGTGGAGCAGAATTCTTCATTGTAATGCAGAGAGTTCCATCCTGCCCGGAGCTGGGAGCGTCAGCCCTGGGCCATGGCCTCCCTTGGCCAGGAGGGTGTTTGGGACTCAAAAAAGTCATTTTTATTTTTTGAGCAAGATAAAACCAGCAGCAAATGCGGATTTTCATGTAACTATGATGGTTGAGCATGGGGCTGGAGGGAGGAGGAAGGACCTGGGGGCTGGGGGGTTTTGTCTCTTGTTGCCTGTGTTTGGGGGTATGGAAACGGGGCTGGATAAAGGGTCTAGGGGGTTGCTATGGGAAGGGGTTGTCCCTTACCCAGTTCTTCACCCCTTGGCTGCTTCAAGCCTCCGAGCTGGCTCCTCAGCCCTGCGAGATGTGGAGCCCACCCCAAGGCTCGGAGCAATGCTGTGGTTCCTCTGCTCCTTGGCACAGGGGTGGGATGCGGGCCCTGACTGGGGAGCATCACCATCCCTGCTCTGGCTGCCTCTGCGTGGTACTGGAGATGGCCCTTGTGGCCAGGATCCCGGTGGCATCCTCAACCTGCTCTGCCTGCACATCCCTACGTTTTCCACGCTGGAGCTGAGCCTGGGCCATCCCCTTTGTTTTAGCAGGGTTGAAGGGGGCCTCACTCACCCCCTGCCCCGGCCCCAGACCCATCCCCTTCCCACATGCACCCCTCAAGCCGCCTACGTGGGAACCAGCAGGGAGAAACGCTCCAGGCAAGCACGGCCGGGGAAGGGGATGAACCGCGGGGGGCCCCCGAGGGAGCGGCACCGGGTGGGCACCGGCGGGGATCTCCCCTTCCCCTCCCGGGGGCCGGGAGCGGCTCCGTGGGCTCACAGAGGCTGAAATCCCCTTTTCTGCCCCAGAAGCGTCCCGCGAGCAGCGCGGCCGCCCCTGGGGAGCCCATGCGAGGCCGGGGGTCAGCGGGTGCCCCCCAGGAACAGAACCCCTTTGACGGCTGAGAGAGGGGAGGGAGAACGGGGTTTGAGGATGTCCGGGGCGGCCAAACCGCGTCCGTGCGTGCGCCGGGCAGGAAAGAGCGGCTCGTGAGAGCGGGATTTCCTTTTATTGGGACTGGGGGGGGAGAAGGGGGAAAAGATAAAATAAAAGGAAAAAATAAACCCCAAAAAAGCCGGAAACTTCCGAGCGCCGCTCCCGCATTCCCGGAGGAAGGGGCGCGGGGACCGACCCCGCCGCCCGCGCCGTCCCAGCGCTCCCCGCCTTTCCTCCTCCGGCCCGGGGGGCCCGGCCCCGGGAATAACGGGGTCTGGGGGTCTCTGCAGCTCGTCGGAAGCTCACGAAGCGCCGCGGCCGAGGCGGCCCCGTCCCTGCCGGGCGCTCCCTCGCCGAGCAATGACCGGTACCACAACGGTGAAAACGCCGTGCCCCGTTAAACCCCGTCCAACCCCGTCCTCCGCCGGGCGCCCTCCGCCGCTGCCCGGCCCGGGTTTGGGTTAATTCCCTGCTCCGGCCGCGGCTCTGCCCGCCGGTACCGCTCCGTTCCCTTTCGCTCGCATCCCATTGGAATCGCGCTCCGGGGGGGGGGCACCCTCACAAATGAGCTCTGCCGAGACCGCTGCGCTTCACAGGATTTATTGTTCGCGTCCGCGGGCCCTGTCCAGGTGTGCGCGCACCGGGGCCGCCCCGCTTCGGGCTGCCGCTGCCCCGGGAGCGGGATCCCGCCATCCCCAGGTTCCTCCCCGGCCTCCCCCCCCCCCGCCGAGCGGCCGCCCCGTCGGGGCCGGTCTCCCGGGCCGCGCACACCGGGCCGGACACGGAGGCACAAACACGCGTCCGCACCCGCACACCGCAAGTAACGGCGCAGCCCCGCGCCCGCAGCACCGGACCCACGCGTGGGCTCCCCCCCCCCCCCCACTTCTGCGGGCCCTGGTCTCCAAAACCCAGAGAGTCTTAAAAAAAAACCAGCGCAGCGAGGCCGGGGAAGGAGCGGGACGGGCCCGGGGCCCCCGTCGGGGCTCCCCGCAGCGCCGGGAGGGCCCTGTCCCGGCGGGCGGTGGCGGGGGGATGCGGAGGGACGAACACCCAGGGATTACCACGTCCTGCCGTAGAGCAGGTTGGGGCTGACCATGCCGCCGTTGTAGTCGACGCCGGCCGAGTCCAGAGGGGCCAGGGGGCCGTGCAGCGCCGGCGGGCTGGGGGACAGCTCCTCCAGGTCTGCCGCCTGCCCCAGCGAGCCGGGGTGCGGGTGAGCGGCGGGCGCGGAGGCCGGGGGGGCGGGCGCGGGCTGCCCGGGGGCCGGGGTGCCGCTGCCCGGCGGCGGGCAGGGTTTGCCGTCCTTCACCAGCACGGGCACGGCGACGCGGCGCGGGGAGTGCTGCTGGCAGAGGCCGCCGTCGGGGTGCAGCTGCTGCGCGGCCGCCGCCTTGTCCTTGGCCTGGCGCTTCATCTTGTAGCGGTGGTTCTGGAACCAGATCTTCACCTGCGTCGGGGTGAGGTGGATGAGGCTGGCCAAGTGCTCCCGCTCGGGCGCAGACAGGTACTTCTGCTGCTTGAAGCGCCGCTCCAGCTCGTAGACCTGCGCCTGCGAGAAGAGCACCCTCCTCTTCCTCCGCGGGGCCGCGTGCAGCGGCACGATGGCCTTGGCGCCCTCGGCGATGCCGCTCAGGCCGCCCATCCCGGCCACGTTCATCCCCGCCGACGGGCCCATGAACCTGGAGACTGAGCGGGACGGGCGGCTCAGCGCCGGCGGCCGCCCCGTCGAGGGCAGCGGCTCCCCCCCTCCCTCCCGCCCGCTCCCCGCTCCGCCGCCCCACGCCCGCACTTACTGCTGGAGTACCGGGGGTCGCCGCCGGCCCCGTACCAGCCGCCGCCCGCCGCCGCGCCGCTCCGCATCCCCTCGGGGTAGGCGGGCAGCTCGCCCATGTTGCCCAGCCCGCCGTTGCAGTAGCCCCCGACGGCGCCGTGCGGGAACTGCGAGACGCCGTGAGGCATGTGGTAAGCGGCCGCCCCGGTGGGGCCCGTCACGACGTGCTGCGGCACAGCGGCGGCGGCGGGCACCGGCGGCTGGCGGTAGGGCCCGAGGGGCGCGCCCAGCCCGCCCGCCCCGTCCATGCCGCCGAACTTCTTGTAGCTCTCCTCCATCGGGCTGAGGATGTCGGTGACCGAGAAGGGCGTCGTGTGCTTGGGGCTCAGCGACATGGCGGGGCGGGACGGGACTGGACGGGATGGGCCGGGCCGGGCCGGGCGCTGCCGCCGGCACGGGCGAGGCGCGGCGGCCACCAGCCCCGGGCGCCGGTAGCTCGCCGTTTCTTTTAGCCCGGAGCCGGGTTTACGCCAGACGCGGGGGGGCGGAGCGAGCGCGCCCGGCGGGGGAGAGCGGCGGCGGCGGCCCCGTCCCCTCCCCGCCTCCCGCCGCCCGCCCCGGCCCCGGCCCCCTCCTCCCGGCCATTGTCCTGCGCCCGCCGGACGGCTCTTAAGCCCGGACGCCCCCGGGCCGCGCCGGAGCGGCTGCGAGCGGCCCAGCGGCCGAGCCCGTAAGTACCTGCGGGGCCCCGTGGGGCGCGGAGCGGGCGGGGTCAAGACAGAGCCCTGGGGCGTGGGGGTGTCCCCCAGAATCCACCGCCTCCAGCCCCGGAGCCGCGCGACGGCCGCAGCGCGGAGTCGGACCCGACGGCGCGGACGGGTGGCAGGAGCCGGGGGCAGCGCTGGCGGTTCCCCGCTGCGGGGCAGGCAGCGGGGTTGCCCCGGGCCCTCGGGCTGCGGGACGGAGCCCCCGGGCCGCCGCCGCCCGCCCAAGCCGCTCCCGCCGGGGTGCGGGCCCGGGCGGGGACCCGCGCAGCGCCGGGGTCCCTCTAGGGCTGGTGCTTCGTTTTCCGTTGGGGTTTGGGGTTGGGGTTTGGGCTTTTCCTTTGGTCGTTGTTCGTTTGTTCGTTGGTTTTGCGATAACGAATTGCCCCCTCGGGGCTGCCCGCGCGCCCGGCCGGGGCTCCCCCTGCGCTCCCCGTGCCCCGGGCTGTGGCGCTGGAGCCCCCCCGCGGCAGGGCCCGGCGCCCGTCGGGGGGCAGTGGCC